TCGACGGACTGGGCAATTCCAGTAAGTTTTGCATGTATGCGTTGATTATGTGTTGTTTTTTGTCCAAAACGCTCCTTTAACAGATGAATTGCTTGTTCGTAATTAGCGCTATTGAGAGCCAGTCATGAAATACATTGCTCAGCTTCCTGAACAATTTGGGTTTTTAAGTAACTGACTTTCAGGACATTCGTGAGAGACGGATTTGTGTGCACTGTTGTTTGGAAAGAATCCCAAAAGGTTTGCCATGCTAAGATATCACCGGAAAATGTCGTTAAATCTAGTTTACCTGGTAGTCTGTGATAGAAATTGGACGGGATTACGGGAATGTGTTGTGACGGGTTTGTTTCTAAATCTTCATGAGTTTGATTACAATTCTGATTGAGTATAGTTTTGTGATGCGACGAAGAATGTGCATAATCACTCACCATTTGTTGTGGTACACTTGCCTTTGAGTCTGACAGCATATCCTTAAATTTGCGAATAGTGATTTCCATCTGAAAAGTGTGGTCATCTGTATCCAATATTTCTTGTTCCATTTCTCCGACTTCTGTAATGTCAATAATCTTGTTATCCAAATTCAGTAAAATTTCCCTTTTCTTCTCGAGTGTTTCAACTGTTACACAGAGTTCCTGATTAGAAATTTAATTTTCGGCAATTTTTTCATCTGTTCTGTGAATTAGTCTTGTAACGGCGTTTTTGTGTCCGCCACGTTTATCCTTAAACTTCTCCATAAGTCACGGCACCATTGTTTGGGTTTAGTTGGGTAGTACTTCGCTTTGGGTAAATAGAAAGACGTGTGTATATTCAAACTCTGTTTACTATACTGACTAGAGACGTTATGCATACAAGAAGCGTAATAATGATATGACGTTACAATACGTCACTTTAGTAACGTTACAGTCTTTGACGTTAACAATAAGAGTTGCATAAGTTAGTGTCTCTGTATTGCGTCTAATTCGTAATATGTGGTATGTGGAATGATTTCAAGGTGTACATGTCAGTCTGGCAGGTTTCATTTGACCATTAACTCATTTTCATGGTTCATTGGTTAATATTATTTTTTTGTGTTTTGTTGTTTTTGAAATACTATAAGCATCAGGGCAACCGTATTTGGTGTATGGAATGATTGTAAGGTGTTCATGTCTGTATGCTAAATCTGTTTATCAGATACTATAAGTAATAGGTCAACTATATTTGGTGCAAGGAAATATAGTTAGGTGTATATGTCTGTCTGGCATGTAGCATCTGACCTTGACCTCATTTTCATGGTTCCTTGGTCAATGTCAAGTTTTCATGATTTGATCTGTTTCGAGAATACTATATGCAATAGTTCAACTATATTTTATGAAGGGCATGATTGTAAGGTGTACATGTCTGTCTGGCAGTGTTTATCTGACCTTGACTTCATTTTATTGGATCATTGATAATGTTAAGTTTATGTGATACTTGTAGTAAAGCTTTATCTTTAAGACTTTCCAGACGAGAAATTCTTGTTACAATCATTGATCCTGTTGATTTTAAAAAAGAAACAACAGTCATTGGCAAACAGTCTGATATTGAATGAAATATTCTCAGAGATGTCGTTGTTGTGTGCAGGAAATATATGGGACACAAGGCAGGGCCTTGTAGGGAACCTGAGAGCACTAATATTGTTTTTGAATTGCAACCATTTACTACCACGCATTGTGTCCTCTGTATTAAGAATGACATTACTGATATAACCTATGATATAAGTTTTATAAAAATTTGGCAAGACTTGTATATGCGAGAGCGTTAACAAGATCGGACGGACAGACCCACGGAATCCCGATATGTCTATGTCCTCCGCAACGCGTCTCTATAAGAGTGCACACGCTGAAATGTCTCGCCTTCTTTACTTATCATGATTGGACTAATGTTGAAAGTCTGCATTTTCTACCCTAGGAATAGATTACCATAGCTGACAAAATCTTTCGAAATTCTGGAGTCCTCAATGCTCTTCAACATCGTACTTTATATGGCCTTTTTTATTTGTTTCATTTTGCGTCTGACGTACAAAATTTTAATCCTGGTATCTATGATGAGTGTATCTGTAGTATGAAGGTTTTACTACAAGTATCACATAAACTTAACACTATCAACGATCCATGTAAATGAGGTCAAGGTCAGATGAACTCTGCCATTAAACATGAACACCATGCAATCATTCCATTCACCGCATATAGTTGCTTATAGTATCTGAGAAACAGACAACCATGAAAACTTAACATTGACTAATGAACAATGAAAATGAGGTTAAGGTCCAATGAACCCTACCAGACAGACATATTCACCTAACAGCATGATGTATTGTTTTCATTTTCTAACATATAATTCCAACCACCAAATATTATTGACCTATTGCTTATAGTATTTGTATTTGATAAACGGACAAAACCACGACAAAACCACGAACGTTTAACACTGACAAATGAACCATGAAAAATGAGATCAAAGTCAGATGAAATCTGCCAGACAGACATGTACACAGACATGTACACCTTACACACATTCCATTCACCAAATATAGTTGACCTATTGCTAATAGTTAAGGAAAGGAAACCTGTAAAATTTAACGTTTTTGTTCAAACAGTCGCTCAACCAAGAAAATGAGGTAAAGAACATTGGTCATATGACTGACAAAAATTTCGTAACATACGGCATCTGCTTACAAATTATACACGATCAAGATTTTCTACCATCTGAAATATAAAGCTTTATACAAATAGTTCTAATCCCTGTCTCACATTCTGCGACTTTCATCCCAGGCGACACAAAAAATAGCATTGTCCAATGTACCATGAAAATGAGGTAAAGGTCAGGCGAACCCTGCCACACAGACATGTACACGTAACACATTCAAAACACCAAATATAAACGACCTTTTCCTTATAGCATCTGCCAAACTGACAAAACCATGAAAACTTTACACTGAACAATGAACTATAAAAATGAGGTCATGGTGAGCAGGTGGGATAAAACCCACCCCAGCTGTAATAAGAGTGCACACGCTGAAATGTCTCGCCTTCTTTACCAACCATTGATACTATATTGATAGTTCTAAATATGAAGCTTTACTACAACTATCACATAAACTTAACATGATCCAAGAAAATGAGGTCAAAGGTCAGATAAACCAAACTGAAAATACATGTACACCTTACAATCATTCCATACACCAAATATGCTTTAAATATACATGTAGTTGACCTATTGCACATCTAAGAAACAAACTTAACCAGGAAAACTTAACATTGATCAATGAACCATGAAAATGAGGTCAAGGTCAAATGAACCCTGCAAGACAGACACGTATACCTTATAATCATTACATGCTTTAAATATAGTTGACCTTTTGCATATAGTATCTAAGAAACAAACTTAACCAGGAAAACTTAAGATTAACCAATAAACCATGAAAATGTGGTCATGGTCAGATGATAATTGCCACAGACATATACACCTTAGGATCATTCCATACACCAAATATAGTTGACTTATTGCTAAAAGTATAAGAAAAATAGACCAATAAACAAAACCTTAACATTGAGCAATGAACCGTAAAAATGGGGTCAAGGTCAAATAAAACTTGCCAGACTGACATGTACATCGTAAAATATGTTCATTGACCAAATAAAGTTGATCTATTGCATACAGTTAAATAAAAACAGACACCTTACAATCATTCCATATACCAAATATAGTAGACCTATTGAATACAGTATTAGAAAAACAGAACAAAACACAAAAACTTAACTATAACCACCGAACCATGAAAATGAGGTCAAGGTCAAATGACACCTGCCAGTTGGACATGTACACCTTACAATCATTCCATACGCCAAATATAGTAGGCCCATTGCTTATAGTATCTGAGATGTGGACTTGACCACGAAAACTTAACTTTGTTCAATGAAATGAGGTCGAGGTCAAGTGAAAACTGTCTGACGGGCATGAGGACCTTGCAAGGTACGCACATACCAAATATAGTTATCCTATTACTCATAATAAGAGAGAAGTTAAGAATACTAAAAATCTTAACTTTTTTTTCAAGTAGTCACTGAACCATTTAAATGAGGTCAAGGACAATGGACATATGACAGTCGGTAACTTCATAACAGGAAGCATCTATATAAAAAGTATGAAGGGTCCAGGTATTCTACCTTCTGAAATATTAAGCTTAAAAGAAGTGAGCTAACGCCGCCACCAGATCACTATATCTATGTCGAACTTTCTGTGACAAAAGTCGCAGGCTCAACAAAAATGGTAATTTTCAGTCTATTTTACGATTTTAATATTCCTGGAGCAGTGAACATTAACAAAATTGTTTCTTTGTCATTCATTGTAGTTACAGCAACCCAAACATGCTGACTGGAAGTTAATTTGACTTGGTCTTGCTGGGAAATTATCAATTGCAAGCCAGGTCTGTCAAAATTTTCTGACAAATCAGTGACCAATTATTACAGACCAGTTTTTATGGCCATATAATACCTCCTTGGGTTCCTAGACTACATCTGCATGCATTTAGGATAATAGTTAATACCTACAGCCTATACCATTAATGTAGTGGCCATCAACTGACTCCAATCCCATCCAGATTTTGGCCACTTTTCAGTTTTCCGATTTTTAACTCTTAAGAAGGGTATCAAGGTTGTCATATTTTCAAAACAACACATCTGGAAAGAGTTTATGGACCATGAATTGCAAGATTGAACTCCCTGCTGTCAACACACATCAGCTGGAGCAGTTCTAAAAAAAAGTATGGAGGGTCATATGGGCTATAAAAGAATGGCTGTTGCAATCACTGATACAGGCAGCATTGGGGCTGAGAGGTTAACAGAGTCACGAAAGAAGTTGCATTCTTACAAATATAGACAGAAACAGATCACCACTATCTGTCTGGTGAAACTAGGACTATCTTTAGCTAAACAGATTCACAGAAACTTCCAGAATATCACACAGCCTTTGATTAAGAAGATTAATTAATAAAGTCAATTTTTATTTGATAAATTTACATATATATTATAATAATTTAATGACCATATTATACATCATCTTCCATTCAAATTGTACATTCATCTCAAGCTCACTGTGAAATATTTGTATTACATCAATATTCATCTACAGTAAAAAGGTTATCGTTCTCTCCACATTTTCAAACACAAAAATTCATTCATAAAAAATTACATGTACCAGGTGATCTGTAAAAATATTTTCCTCTCCCCACTCCTTCACTAAAGAATTTGTTTTGAGGTTATAAAAATAAGATGTGGTTTGATTGCCACTTGCACAACTATTCACCAGAGACAAGGACAAGTCCATATTAACAGGACAATCATACCATAAATAGTTCCAATTTTGTCATTAACATATGGTCTACTTTTCTGATAATTTGGTACATGTGACAGACAGGGGTTAATGACCTAGCTTAACCTTTTTCATAAAACTGACATTACAGAAACAAGCGAGTATGAGATTTATTCTTTAATTGTACATTTAATTTTGTTTTAATGCCTTTTTAGTTTACAGCCTCTTCATGAAGTTTTTTTACTGCTCTTGGTTTTGTAGATTTTTCAAAACTAAATTTAAGGAAATGTCATGAAGATGAATATAAGTTTGAAGGATCTTATAGATTACCTACTAAAAGTATATCGAAGATTAAATGAAAGCACTAATAATTTTTCAGACAAAAATAGAGAAGATTTATTTCAGAAATGAGAATTGGAAAATTATTTTAGTCAAAAAGATTTAATATTAAAAGAGTTTTTACGTACCTATTGTGATACTTTTGTTAACAATCTGATATGTGGTATATATAATCAAACCAGAATCAGTTTACATTCACACAAAACTTCAATTGGATATATATCATTCATACCTCATGTAATTTTTTAAACAGTCATGCAGCTCTTTACACATTTAGTTAATCATCATTCAGAAAACACAAAAAAACTAAAATATTTTCACATATTGACAAAGCATTGTTTTCTGAAAATAGCTCAAGTTCCCCATATAATAAGTGATTTATGATGACTCCTAACAAATAAATAGATCCACTGTTTCACACTCTGAGACTTGATAATGAAAGCCCATTATTCTGTTTTAAACCTTTGGCAGTTAAGTCATACAACCACCTTTCAAACATGAACACTTGTTTTTATATACTTCACTTAACACTTCGATTGGAACATATAACATATATTAACAGATTATAAATACTGGTAAAAATGATTTGATTACAATGTGTGCTGTATTAGTTTATTCCAAATTACCATAAAATCCTCTTTACTCTTTGTCCAACTGGTATAATTTACTTCATCATTTACAAGCATTAACCCATTAGTGTAAAGATCAATTTCTGCATTTAGAGGCATGATTTGTATCTCTATCGTATGGTTCTTTGACATGAAGATGTTTCAAAGAATTTTTGGATTTTTTTTTAATATTGACAACTATTCATAAAAATAAAACCAAGGGTTGCTCTTACAAGAATTCCTGCCAATGCTTGCATTTGTAAAAATAATGAGAAAGGCCACATATATTTGAATGACTTTAAATTTTGCAGAATCCTAAAGTTGTTTTAAATAATCAGGAAATTCTGAATCATAGTGGGCACTTATCATTAAATATGACATATTACTAAGCTTTTCACAAAAGACAACAAAATATATCTGGATTCTATCCAAATGATAGGCTTTTTGAAATTTTAATTTGTTCAGAACTTCACATAAATATAAACTTAAAATCTATTTATTTATATGATTTTTACAATGAAGGATTATGTTTATGTACAATGTAGGAGAAATTCTACTTTCCATAAAAAATTTTGGCATGATTTTATGTACAACACATACAATTTATTGCAGTTTTCATTCACCCGTGTCATGGAAAAATTAAAAACAACCTATAAAATAGTTTGAGTGATAGCATGGATGATTTCTTCTAATGGTTAATGCATTCTCATGACTGTTCAAGCATTGTTTGATTGTAGTGGTGTTTTTTTTTTAAACACACAGGAATCCTACTTAAACAGAAGGTTTAAAAGCTAGATGTGTCTGTATAATGCAGGTGCCTACTACATGAAGATATTATCAGGTTTTGAAATTAATTCATAAGTAGGCATGGAAATATAATACACAGCCTATGAACTTGTATAGAGAAAAGTTATATGTTAATGGTACTACTAATAGTTTTCCTGGGTAGGGTGCATCAAACTGTTTATTTTTAGTTAAGTAAATTTTTACTAATTTTGCTTAAAAAATAATTGAAAATCTTATTTTTAAATTTTGCTGGAATTTGTCTTTTTGCTATTGTGGAAGTTCATTAATAACAATATAATTTAAGGCAAAAAAGCAAAAGTTATTGTAGAATTCCCTTACAAATATTGTAATGGACACAAACTTGTTGAATGGCTATAGTAATGATTCTGTCCTGACTGACTCAAGAAATATTACTGTATTTTTGTATCATAACTGTACTAAAATTTAATCAAGTTTTAATATTAAAGAAATTGAAATAGAATCAGGCACAAATAAATATTTATATATATAATACATCAAAATTTTTTTGTTTAGATTTCACTTTGCATAAAATTTTATACACATCTATTTACAATACATCAATTGTAAAATTGTATGTGCTCTTAGCACACAAAGAATACATCATTTTTATAAAAGAAGATATACAATGAAATAAATAATATAAAAAGAACACAACATTTAAATATCAGTCATGAAGCAAAGCTCCAATATGAAATCTTGACATCACATACATTTAAAGCTCTTTTTGTGTGAAGAAGTCTATGACATTTTGTTCTTTCTAACATACATAAAAGGTACATCCATGGATTTTTAATGCCTCTAGGAAAATTGAATTTAACTATTTTTACTCAATTAACTGTTTTCTTTTATTTGCATACAAACATTTCATGTGTAAATAATGGAGCATACAAGGTGATATGGATGAAAACTTCAATTATGATCAATGTTGAAATGTGCACAATAAAATTGAGAATGGAGAACATTAATACCCTGCAAGAATTCTTCAAAATGAGGAAACAAAAAAAAATTGGAAATTATATTATGCTGTATTTGAAAAAGAAGACATTTTAATCCTCTAAAAAGACAGTGACCGATCTGATTTCATTTGCAAGATAAATAATACTGTGACAAATAATTCTGTATTTGCTCAAAAACAGTCAAATCAGTCAATATCAAACCGTTAATTAATCATGGTAGCAATTCATAAAAGCAGTATTCATGAAAACTGTTGCTAAGAAGATCTATAAAAGATGTTTTGGAAAACAACGATAGCGAAAAACTAGTTATCTGAAAAATAACATGACATATACAATGTACTTCAGCTCAGGAAAAAAGCCAGCTTTAATATAAATTCATGAGATATTTTATGCATACCTGTAGCACTGTTAATTCTATAGATTGCATTATTGACTGATCTGACAATAGCACTTTTTGTATATGGATTAACAGAAAACAACTATATATACAAAGTCATAAAAAATATTTCATAGCAATGTCATTATCCCAGACTAGATTTAAACCATCATTGCATTGTCTTCATTTACAAAACAACAATAAAAACAATTTAAAGGAAAATATTTCCATTAATGAAACGTCTTGTTCACTGGCACCTTGAACTAGGAAAAACTCAAAGAAAATCTGTAGGCTGAGGAATCTGCCATCAGAAATGTGTTGCTTTTCTTGGCCTCAATTCCCAGAAAGACTTCATTGATACAAACTCCCATTTAGTTACATCGTAACATCACATGATAACATTACATGATAACTGATGTGTTAATCATGTGATCTACAGGATTGTAAAATTATGCATCACTGTTGTTCACAGCTTATTTGATATTTTATGTCAGTTTGGTCTATCACATGGTATTGGAGTAATGTAATGTAATATTCCCGTTGTTAAGTCCTTGTTTTCATCGACTAGAATTGACACAGTTTGTTTCCAGTAGTCAAAACTGATTCTAGAACTCTGAAAGATAAAAAAAGAATTGCAATAAGTAACTTTTTTCAACAAATTAACATCATTTATTCCTGTTTACCCTACATATTGCTGTCAACTGGCAGCCAATGTATCAATTCATTCCTTCCAACAATAGAACGAGTTCGCAGAGATTAAGGAACAATTGTACTGTACACTACAGTAATATACATTGCACAAAACTGGATTCCAATAATGAAACTCTACTACTGAGTGAACAATCTCTATGTGCCATGTAAGAGCTTTATCATATACATTGAGTGATACATGGTGACTTTTCCTTAGCAACCAAACATGTTAATTTGAACAGAGTACCACAGGGTATTTGGGGATTTATTTTAAAGTTAACAACAAACTGTCATACACAAAGTGGAAGCAATACTGCAAGTCCTGAATGTTTTTTTTTCTTCATTAATGTCACAAATGTGGCAATGTTAATATTACAATAGTTCAAATTATTACATTGGTTGCAATTCACTCTCCCTTGCATCATACAACAATATGTGTTTCAAAGACATTGTCAGTATCAAAACAATTTAGAATGCATAGAAAAAATATAGTTCCTTGCCTTTTGTTCTTTAATCACAAATTCCAATGTTCGGACAACTAAGCTTCTTAAGAATTCAAATATCAGAAAATAGTCAGCTCATGACTAAAAAGTTGATAATCCCCTCTTCTGAATTATGAGTTGTTCAGTCATGTTTCTAATATATTTTTATATTCTAAATTCTTGGATTTGATAACACACAATTAAATTTTTGTAGTCAATATTTCAAAGCAATATATGCATAAATCTGAATCAAGGGTACAGCAATTTTCAAGCAAATTAGGTCATTGGTTGAGGATTTGAAAAACAAGATTTTTTTATCTCTTCAAACTGTCAAAATCATACCAGATGTTAAGACATAAAAGAAATTGTATCTATGGTTTTACTGTATGAACTGTGTTAATTTTTTTAACCTGTCTGTGGGACCTAATAAGAATGCTGCACTTATGTACAGACACTTTAAGTGGGATAGAGAATTTTGTGGTCATGAAGTAGGTAATTGATTAAAACCACTTAAGTATATCGATCAAGATCAGGTCAATGAAAAAGTGACAAAGTGTGAAAATGTTTGCCTTTTACTTGCAAAAAGTGTTTTTTATCCCTTAAAACTCACTTTCCTCTTGCAATAAATCTTAATATAAAAATAAGATGTCGTATGAGTGCCAATGAGACAAATCTCCACCAAAGACCAAATGAAATAGAATTTAACAACTATATGAGACCGTAAGTATGACTACATAAAAAGTAGTGACACAAATTGAAAATGTATTAAAATGCAATATAGCTTAATTCTGTTAATAATACCAAGCTATTAAGCCTCATAAAATTTTACATGAAGTTGTGTATAAAGAATAATATCTTTAAAATGTCTAATATTTGAAGGAGTTATTTATAAAACCTATAATGTAGATCTTAACCTTGTCTGAATTCTTCTTCAAATACACTAAATACATTACCTTTTCTAAAGCACTACAGTCTTTGTCTTTGTGTAGATAATGATCCTGCCAGAATATCAACAAATCTCTGAAACAAAAAATATTATATAATATAATATAATGATTGATTGTTCATATTCCCAAACAACACAAAAGTTTGAAATTAAAAGAGAATAGGAAGACATGTTAGGGTGGATAATAAAGTCCTTTGGTATATGTTAAAATGTTTAAATTAACTTCAATATTAGAGAGTAAAGACAATGTTTTGCACAAATCTAGGTCCATTATACAAGTCCATTTGCAGGTATGCAACAAGTGTTTGAATGAGGAAAAAAATAATGGCTAAATTGAGAGTTGGAAAATATCAACTACTAACATTTTAATACCCGATAAAAATACAAAGACTTAATTGTGATTTTATTTTACCAAGGAACATATTTTGAAGTTATCTGGCAGACACTTTTAAGTTAATTTTTAACACCAATCTACATTCCAATGGTAACAAGAGTGCACACGCTGAAATGTCTCGCCTTCTTTACTAATCATTGATATTATGTTGATAGTCCTAAATATAAAGCTTTATTACAACTGTCACATAAACTTAACATTAACCAAGTAAACTAAACATTGACCAATGAACCATGAAAATGAGGTCAAGGTCAGATGAACCATGCTAGGCAGGCATGTACAGCTAACAATTCTTCCATACAACAAATAGAGTTGACCTATTGCTTATAGTTTAAGAAAAACAGACCAAAACACAAAAACTTAACACTGAGCAATGAACCTTGAAAATGAGGTCAAGGTCAAATAAAACCTGCGTGACTGCCAAATAGATCATAAAATATTTCCATACACCAAATATAGTTGAACTATTGCATATAGTATAAGAAAAACAGACCAAAACACAAAAACTTAACTATAACCACTGAACCATGAAAATGAGGTCAAGGTCAGATGACACCTGCCAGTTGGACATGTACACCTTACAGTCCTTCCATACACCAAATATACTAGACCTATTGCTTATAGTATCTGAGATATGGACTTGACCACCAAAACTTAACCTTGTTCATTGATCCATGAAATGAGGTCTAGGTCAAGTGAAAACTGTCTGACGGGCATGAGGACCTTGCAAGGTACGCACATACCAAATATAGTTGAACTATTGCACATAGTATTAGAAAATAAGACCAAAACTCAAAAACTTAACTTTGACCACTGAACCATGAAAATAAGGTCAAGGTCAGATGACACCTGCCCGCTAGACATGTACACCTTACAATCATTCCATACACCAAATATAGTAGACCTATGGCATACAGTATAAGAAAAACAGACCAAAACACAAAAACTTAACTATAACCACTGAACCATGAAAATGAGGTCAAGGTCAGATGACACCTGCCAGTTGGACATGTACACCTTACAGTCCTTCCATACACCGAATATACTAGACCTATTGCTTATAGTATCTGAGATATGGACTTGACCACCAAAACTTAACCTTGTTCATTGATCCATGAAATGAGGTCGAGGTCAAGTGAAAACTGTCTGACGGGCATGAGGACCTTGCAAGGTACGCACATACCAAATATAGTTGAACTATTGCACATAGTATAAGAAAAAAAGACCAAAACTCAAAAACTTAACTTTGACCACTGAACCATGAAAATGAGGTCAAGGTCAAATGACACCTGCCCGCTAGACATGTACACCTTACAATCATTCCATACACCAAATATAGTAGACCTATGGCATACAGTATAAGAAAAACAGACCAAAACACAAAAACCTAACTATAACCACTGAACCATGAAAATGAGGTCAAGGTCAGATGACACCTGCCAGTTGGACATGTACACCTTACAGTCCTTCCATACACCGAATATACTAGACCTAGTGCTTATAGTATCTGAGATATGGACTTGACCACCAAAACTTAACCTTGTTCACTGATCCATGAAATGAGGTAGAGGTCAAGTGAAAACTGTCTGACGGGCATGAGGACCTTGCAAGGTACGCACATACCAAATATAGTTATCTTATTACTTATAATAAGAGAGAATCTAACATTACAAAAAATCTTAACTTTTTTTTCAAGTAGTCACTGAACCATGAAAATGAGGTCAAGGACATTGGACATGTGACTGACGGAAACTTCGTAACATGAGGCATCCATATACAAAGTATGAAGCATCCAGACCTTCCACCTTCTAAAATATAAAGCTTTTAAGAAGTTAGCTAACGCCGCCGCCGCCGGATCGCTATCCCTATGTCGAGCTTTCTGCGACAAAAGTCGCAGGCTCGACAAAAACAATTACAATAAAATTCATACTGTGTTAATTTTTCCCTTCCTAGTAATTTTATCAACTGACCTAAAATTGCGTAATAGATTTGTACAACCACTGACATCCATCATGTCCTCCTTCTCATCACGGAGAGCTTGGAGATACCGGGGTAACTGGTTCTTTCTGTTGGCAAACATCAGAAATACCAGAGTTGTGTTTAAACAGCTAACATTTTCCTAAAATAATAAAAAAAAACAAGATTTTACTTAAGAACTGAATTTTCTGTTTTAACTTTTTCTGTCAGCCTGCAATAATTGTGTTCACTTGTTAATACATTTTACAAGAAGTATATTAAAATTCAACTGTTTTCCTCATATGAACAAATAAATAGTTCAAATTATTATTCCCGTATAACAAATATTGATTTTGACTTAATCCTACTGCCATCATAAACACCATTTCTCCATTTCAAATTTAATATTTGCCTTTTAAAATTAGTCTGAAATTAATTAATGTTATATCACCTGAACTCTGTTCAGGAAATGCTGTGTTTTACCAATTATAGAAGTTCCAGAGAAAAGTGTGATGAACATATTTGATGCAATAACCCCCCCCCCACTCTTAGAGCTGGGATAAGAAAACATTATATTACATATATAAAACACAGATTTCAAGGCAGTCTACTGCATTTAATTTCAGGATTTTTTTTGTCCTACACCACTTATTACACAACCACTGAAGATAAACATGTCTTCTGTAGTCAGTTCACCTGTCAATAATAACTTTACCTGTGTGAGATTCTGTACATTGATTATTTTGATCAGTTTATACAGGTAATCCAACTGTTTATTAAAATCTCCTATATACATCAACAATTTGTTTTCTTTTTTGGCATAATCTGAAATTGAAGAAAACACATATAACAGCTTCAGATAAATTGTAAAACTTTAAATAGGTCAAACAAGCAGTATGCTTTAATAAACAGCTGCGTCATGAGCGCATGATATGCCTGTCGCTTTTTCAATAGACATAAACCAGTCACCAAAGTTTCATGAAACTTCTCAAGGCATTTTTGAGTAATTGTCTGAAAACTGGAAAATCCCCCTTTTTTAATGAATAAAACCCCATAACTCGGAAGCGTAAAATCTAAAATTTATTGAATTCGAAAGGGAGCTCACATCAATAGACATAAACAATTCACCAAAGTTTCATGAAAACTGCTCAAGGCATTTTTGAGTAATTGTTCGAAAACTGGAAAATCTCCCTTTTTTAATGAATAAAACCCCATAACTCGGAAACGTAAATAAAAATTTATGAAAATCGAAAGGGAGCTCACATCAATAGATATAAACATTTCACCAAAGCTTCATGAAAACTGTTCAAAGCATTTTTGAGTTATTGTCGGAAAACTGGAAAATCCCCCTTTTTTAATAAATAAAACCCCATTACTCGGAAACGTAAAATCTAAAATTTATAAAAATCTAAAGGGAGCTCACATCAATAGATATAAACAATTTTTTCATGGAAACTGTTCAAAGCATTTTTGAGTAATTGTCCGAAAACTGGAAAATCCCCCTTTTTTAATGAATAAAACACAACTCAGAAACGTAACATCCAAAATTTATAAAAATTGAAAGGGAGCTCACGTCAATAGATATGAACAATTCACCAAAGTTTCATGCAAATTGGTTAAAGCCTTTTTGAGTTATTGTCCGACATGTTGACGACGGACAGACAGACAGAGGTATACCATAATACGTCCCGTAAACGGGCGTATAAAAATGTATAACAACATTGTATTTTTTAGTATAACCGTAAACAGAAAATTTGATAAACTGTCAAACTTGCCTAAGCCAAGCAGAGTAACAAAGATGTTCTAAGGAAGGTATGTTTTAACTATGAATACATTACTTTAATAAACTGTTATCACAGAGATATGTCTCGCCTTTTTGTAATTTTGATAATGCAAATGTTGAAACTAAAATAGCAATACTTTAACATGTAAGTTATGCAAATATTCAAAGTCGATGAACCATGACTGAAGGTACATGGCTAAACAATCTCCATTGAATGAGATGATCCAATGCTAAAACAACTGCATACCAAATACCATTGACTTATTATAAGTCGTTCCCTTTAAACAAACCTAAACACAAACATTAACTTGTATACTATATAAAAGTTTCAAAGTCAATGAACCATGATCAGGGGTGGGCTATATAATCTCCATGGAAACGATACTTGCAAATGCCAATAAATTTGCATACCAAATATCATTGACTAAACATTAGCAGTTCATCTTAAACTGATCTAATCACAAACTAATACATGTAAACTAAGCAAAAGTTTCAAGTAAATAGACCATGACTGAGGGGATAGGGCCAAATATTCTCCATGGAAATGAGATGTGCTAATGCTTATACAACTGAACACCAATTAACATTGGCCTACCACTAATGGTTCCCCTTGAACTGACCTAATCACAAACTAATACATGTTAACTTTGCAAAATTTTCAAAGTCTATAGACCATGACTAAGGGGGCGGAGCCAAATAATCTCCATGGAAATGAGATATGCCAATGCTTATACAACTGCATACCAAATATCATTGACCTACCACTAGTGGTTCCCCATAAATTGACCTAATCACAAACTAATACATGTAAACTATGAAAAGTTTCAAAGTCAACAGACTGGGGTCAAATAATCTCCATGGTAATGAGATGTGCCAATGCTAATACAACTGCATACCAAATATCATTGACCTACTACTAGTGGTTCAGCATGAACTAGACCTAATCACAAACTAATACATTGTTGAAGCCGCCTTCGCCGACGCCGGAAACAGCATACCTATGTCTTGCTTTTTGACTCCGTCAAGGCGAGACAAAAACTATGAATACATTACTTTAAACACTTTACTTACCTCTACAGGGGGATTCATCATTGGTCAGATGTTCTAAGGAAGGTATGTTTTAACAATGAATACATTACTTTAAACACTTTACTTACCTCTACAGGGGGATTCATCATTGGTCAGATGTTCTAAGGAAGGTATGTTTTAACAATGAATACATTACTATAACACTTTACTTACCTCTACAGGGGGATTCATCATTGGTCAGATGTTCTAAGGAAGGTGTGTTTTAACAATGAATACATTACTATAACACTTTACTTACCTCTACAGGGGGATTCATCATTGGTCAGATGTTCTAAGGAAGGTATGTTTTAACAATGAATACATTACTATAACACTTTAATTACCTCTACAGGGGGATTCATCATTGGTCAGATGTTCTAAGGACAATATAAGACTACGGATAAACATATTGGAATCAACCAAGTTTCTGTTTACTGTACTGGTGAACTTATCAAACTGAAATATAAATATAAGTTCTCAAAGTTTGTTTGTTGATAAGATGTTAAATCAACTATGAATTATCGTAATATTTTTGTTCCATTAGTAACTTTTGAGACCCAAAAATTGTTTTTTATTTTCATGCATCTGTTTTTACGTACAATTTAAAGGGTTATTCCATCAAGTGAATGTTAAGACATTAAGATGTTGACATGGGTTGTTTGTCAAAACTATGTTTTCAAAATTTTGTCGTGGGCAGGGGAAGGGGGTTCTGGGAACTCCCTTCCTACCCTTTCACATCAAATTTAAAGGAATAGCCCTAAAGGAAATTGGTATTTATAATTAAAAACAGACAGAATTTCACATGGATAAATACTACTTTAAGTGAACACATGAATTTGCTTTTACATTTTGAAAATATCAGATCCTTCTCTTGTCTGAAAAATTGAATTTGTTCTTCTATATATCTGTCATCCTATCTTAAAAATTAGCTTAGTAGCTGGGCCTGATCTATCAGTGAAATACAAGGGTCCTACTCTGCTGCCTTGAACAGGAAATATTTGCTAAGTACAACACAATTTAAAAATTCCTTCTTTTATTACAAAACAAGTGCCAGCCTTTCATTCTTCAAAGACTTATATCCCTCACAGAGAAGCTTGATATACAGCTTGTCATACTAAGTCATGACAATAATAAATAGTGTGCAGCTTGATATACAGCTTGTCGTACTAAGTCATGACAATAATAAATAGTGTGCTGCTTGATATACAGCTTGTCGTACTAAGTCATGACAATAATAAATAGTGTGCAGCTTGATATACAGCTTGTCATACTAAGTCATGACAATAATAAATAGTGTGCAGCTTGATATACAGCTTATCATACTAAGTCATGCCAATAATAAATAGTGTGCAGCTTGATATACAGCTTGTCATACTAAGTCATGACAATAATAAATAGTGTGCAGCTTGATATACAGCTTATCATACTAAGTCATGACAATAATAAATAGTGTGCAGCTTGATATACAGCTTGTCATACTAAGTCATGACAATAATAAATAGTGTGCAATTTGATAGTGGTGTTCCTACATCAAGATTCGTAACACTCTTCCCTGTCCCCAATCATTAATGTGATAGGTCAGGTGACTTAGGCTTTAAGATTACATCATTAAAAATATACTAAAATCCTGAAAGTAAAACATCTAAGTTTTTCAAAACCTCTTCCACCTTGTCACAACAAGAGGCTGCAGTACTCAGTATTCATAAATATCTATTCTAAATGTCCTTTCTATCTATACAGGTTGCTATCTTTTGTCAAATCGTAAATTCTGTACTACTAAAGTTCTACTTTCTGTAAAACTACTATTCAAAAAAAAAAAAAAAAACAAGAACCTTTTCATTTAAAGGCTTATTATTTATATCTATTCAGTGTGATGTCTTCTGCAAAGATTTAACATATTAAAAACTGCAAAGTTCACAGTAATCAATTTATATATCAAAGATTTTAAAATTTTAGCTGCTGTACTTATTTACTATCATTTTGGCCTGTAAGTAAAATTGTCCATGTCTAATGACATTTTTACAAGTATTGTTAGGTGGAAATGCAATGGTTTACATGTATATTCTATACTGTGACTTACCTTAGGTGAAGTATTTAGAATTTCATCAAATGATCTAAATGCCTCTATGTTGAATTTAACAAGTTCTCCCAACAAGTCAAAACTGCTTTGTAGAATTTCCTTGTGTCTTATTTCATGTTCCACAATGTTTGTTGCAACATGCTGTAAAAGATATATAAGTAATTGTATTTGTGTTTGCACTACAATGGAAGCTTCTATAGACATATTTCATTTAAATTACATTAATTCCATGTAATGTAGTCAACTTAACTGTATTTATTTTTGGTGAACTGGAATTTTTGTAAACACATAACACTTTCTTTGAGGTATAGGCTTTTCCCACTGACATTTTTCAGTAATTTTTTGGCAAGTGGGTAGCAAATTAACCCTTCCTTCTCAACTTTAAAGATTGCAACTCTCTTCTTTTTACAAATTAATTTCCCACACCTGTTTTGAAGCACAAACTTATGCCTTGTAATGGCTGTTTCTACCAATACCAAGTGATTAGAATGGTAATATGATTTACTATTTATTTTATTTCGAGAACTGTAGATTGATAGGTCAAGACAGAAGAACATAACGGTCCTTTTGGTGAGTGTATACTTACTTGTAGAAGTCCTCTTCTCATTAAGAAGACCTGATCACAGTATGATGTATTACCTCTCAAGTAACTCTCTACAGCTCTGGCCAGCCAGAACCTGAAATATAACATACTCAATTAAATATATTTGATAAAATCTTTGTCGTGATATCCATGGTTCTGTTTTTATTTTATAAATGTTAAGAACTTTTTATATCTAACCCACTGAAATACCTCTCGTGACATGTTGTTATTTTTCCCTTGGCATATAAATATTTTATAAAGTAACTGCAAGACATTCTGCATAAACCAATAGCACTTCAACTTCTTATTATACCACGTAGAATACTATTTAAGGATGTTTGCTCCTCTTGTTTTTGAATATTTTGCCAGATATTCGGAATCCTCCGGTTTTATCCATCTAGTGCCAATAAAAATATTTCCCCACTAACCCCTACTTTTCTTTTCATAATTCTATTACATATAGTTTAAAAAGCCATATTTGAAAATCCTATAAAATCCTTGTTATTTTTTCATATTTTTTGAAAGAAAAAGGGTGCTAATGTCATGAATGTTAAATGTATGAAAAGTCTAGAGAGAATTATTTCCCGCCAAATTTTCAATGGCTTATACCTCGAAAACCAGCACAGGGACCCTTCATTTTTTTCTGCTTTTTTAGCTCCTTTATTTATATACTATCAATTTATAACAGTCTTTTAAAAAGCTTGTTATTTTGAAACAGAGTAGCAAACATCCTTAAGTCATGAAAAGTATTCAAATATTAATGAATGTAAACAAAAGTTGTCTTTTAACATATAAATTTTTACTCCCTGCAAGGAGTTATCTTATTTTGTGTGAGTTTTGCAGTTAAGAAGAAAATACTGCTCAATTTATTCACCATCCACCTATATTTATATAAAAGTAAGAAGTGAGTACTTCATGATCTACTGTTACCATTCCATTCTGTCTATTTTCTACATTAAATCCATTAATGACCCCCTTTTTCTTGTTTCCCCCTGATGCTTACCTGAAAGTTGATGTAGTGGGTTCTTTCTTCATAACTTCCACTATTTTAGTTAACAGACCTTTACTTCCTTTGCACATTAATGATCTGAAGATTTAAATAAAAGAATTTAAATGACATTAGAAGCTGATTTGCTTTTTTGACATTAAAAAATTTGTAAAGGTTCTGTAGAACCCAGTGTATCGCCTACTTTTGCTGTTGTCTATGTTTTCAGTGTGATAGGGAAATGCACATAATAGATTTACAGTTAATAAAATAAAATGTTTGAAATGTATGAAAAAAGTTATGCTTGTAAAAAATGAATACAGTATGCAATCAAATTTATAGATTTATAAAAGAGTTGAAACATAAATTTATTGAATGAACAAATGATAAAGAAGATAATTTTTACATTGATTGATGATTTATCCCTTAATTCATCAATAAATATGCATGTAAAGAGAAGATGCAATTATAAAATTTTGTTCAAAATAATTGATGCAACTAAAAAAGTAGAATATATGTGCAAATAAGAAAATTGTGTTATAGGAAATATGGGAAGCATTTTTTTCCTCATAAACAACATTTTCAATGATATAGAGTCAATTAAAATAAATTGATTAACTGCCAGGTGACATAAATATGAATATAAAAATGTATTATCGCAAGATGTGATTTATCAGGAATTGAGTCGTCTTAAATATAAGAAGTAAAGAATTTGTGGATGTGCCATTTGCAAAGAACCTGAAAGAATAAAAAAATTCTGGATACTATCTTATGACCATAAACAAGCTTTGTCCAGGTTTGAAAAAGTCGCAGGCTCAACATAAATGGGGAAAAAATTATTAAAAATTTTCCTCTAGATACTATCTTTTGATTGTAAGAAGCTTCTGTCCAAGTTTGGTAAAAATCCAGGATGGTTTATTAATCTAATAAATGTTTTAAAAACTTTAACTGCAGACTGTATGTAATGTTAACTGGAAGAAAAACTAAGTCCATTTATAAGTAATATAAGGAAAAACAAGAAATAAATTTTTACAAAATTTTCTTCTGGATACTATCTTATGATCATAAACAAGCTTCTGTCCAAGTTTGGTAGAAATCCAGGATATTTTAAAAAAGTTATTAAATTTTAAAAACTTTAACCACAGAGTGAATATTTGTGGACGCCACCGCGAACGACGCCGACGGAATGTAGGAAACTGCAACAAGGGTCACTTATGGCATTGATACGAAGTGGTAAACTTACTCTTAAACAATGCATTTTCTTTTAATATTTACTGCATTATCACCTTAAAATTGCTTAAAATGTAATTTTGAACAACTTAATACACACTTACTTATTTACAGCATCAAGGTTAGGTAATGATAAATTACCAGCTTTAGCTAAAAAGAAATTTAAAATACATTTTATAATAAAAATATATTCTGATATATATATTAAAACAGGCATGCATGCGATGTCAGTACCTAATCTATTTAATTCAAAATATTGGAAAACAGGAAGTAGGTGTCTGACTTATCCAAAACATGCTATCATCTTACAACTCATCACTATCAAAATGCTGACCAATTATGGTCATTCTGTTCAGTAGCACAGGAGAAAAGTGCAAATTTTTTGAAGGTTCATTCAACATAATGTAAAACTTAAATATTCAAATATGTAAACAAGAAGTAGGGGTCCGACACATCTGAAAAGCACTCACACCTTACAACTCATCACTGACAAAACGATGGTCATTCTGTTCAGTTGTACCTGAGCTAAATGTGTGGACTAATGGACAGAGGGACAAACTAGGTAAATGCAATATAGCCCCCTTTTTTTATATTCAATACTTACATTATAGATTGAATATGACTAATAAGGTGCCAAATTTCATATTTTGTATACATGTGTTAATTTATCAGACAAATAAAATGCACATGTAAGTCAAAAAAAAAAATCATTTCCTTAAAAAATACCTTTTATTCTCTAAATCTGAATATTTACATAGCTAAATCTGCATATTCATTAAAACAGCATTCAGGTATTTATATTAACAGATACAATACAATCTAACTTTTACTTACTGTTAATTCTCTTAACTTCATTGAGCTCATTTTTGGATAATAACAAATGTTTATAACTAAAAAGAAACAACAAAGTACATGTAGTTATCATAAACATTATTAAACTAACAACCATCTATTTATATGAATGATCATAAAAACATTCACATGAATTCAAGTTTCTATTGCAATTAAATTCTATCGCTGTTGAGTTTTTACCTTAAGCTCTGAGAGTTCATTTTCTGAAAGCCTTTTTTTTTGTTTTCACTGGATAAAATAAACAATGTTTTAGTTTCTGGAATGAACACACAGAATGTACAAGTTGAAAGTTAATCAGGATGAAATCAGCCTTTATTACTTAGAATTCTCTACTTACAGTGAACTCACATATTTAGAATTAATATATGTTTCTTACTAAACATGATCTTAATGCCACACATACTCAAAATGATCACAAAATCTATTCAGGTGTCACATTTACACACAGTGATCATATAAGCAAGAAAGTCTACAAACTAACTGAGGATGAACAGACTTTGCAGGAGTGGTACTTATTCAGAAGGATCACAGAAACAGGGCAGAAATTTAATTTACTCAGCATCAACAGGGCAACTGTATATGAGTCATACTTACTCAGAATGATCACAGAAACTATGTACAAGTCGTAAGAACTGGATTTTTAATGCCACTTCCTGTTAAAAGAGACAATAGATCTTTATTATATACAAATACACTGAAGATAAATTAAAATCATTTTGTATTGAAATGTTTGTACATAGAAAATAATTTACTGTAAGACCACTACAGTGTATTCCTACAAAAAAACTTAATGTGCTTATTCTGCTTACCTATAACAAAAAAAAAATGAAAGCAATATGTGATAGGTTTTAAAGTGTTTCAATTTTCAGTCTTGGGGTGTTTAAAAATAATGTGTTAAAAATGGCACTATCAAATTCTGAGCTGTTGGATAAAACAAGTCTGAACAGATAAATTTACTGATTGCTCTTTCCTTGATGAATTATGAAGTTTTTTAGACTGCTGAACAAAAGTCGTCTTTTAGAAAACTAATGAGTTACTTCCTGACAGAGTGTACTAATTCTCTAACAGGCTTAGAGAAATCTTATGAAACGTGAAGACCTCTCACTAATATCAAAAGGTACTTATAATATTGTCTGTATTTGTAGAATAAATAATTTAACATGATCACTTTCTTATGTCAATCACTAGTTGAACATTGATTCACAAACATAGAGAATGGTCAATAATGACTGCTTTTGCAGCTGAAAAACTATTTTTTAAACCTAACCCCAAGACGCATATTAGAAACAGAACAGTTATGTTTTGTTACAGACCACCAGATGATCAATTGTGTGGCTTGACAGAGATCTTTCAAGCCTTGTTCATCAATTGCGTCACTCACAGGGAACCAAAATTTTGTCAAATCTTCTGTCCTATGACGAACTGACACCAACTTTTTGGCTCACTATCAATACTTACAGGACTACATTCACAGGCAGCGTTGTGTCCACGTAATCTGTTCCTACTGCTATATCTGCTTCTGTCAATAATAATATATTTATAGATTTCCTCTCTTCAATGGTATTACACAAGCTTGATCACTATTTCTTCCATAAATTACTTAAAAAATTGTTTTCTTTTTAATTATTTTTTTTGAATAAATACAATTTAACATCCAAAATTCTGTCTAATTATTTATATGATACTCACTAGGAGAGTTTATTCTATATTTATGGAAGAATTTTACAGAATTTGCAGACAGTAGGTAAGAACAATTAATTATCACACAAACATGAACTTTTACTTTGAAAGATTCTTTTTAAAGTACAGTCGAACCTTGTTGTGTCGAAAACTCGGATGAGTCGAAGTAATTTCTCGGTCCCGGTAAAATTCCCGTTTGATCAATCCATTATTACCTCTGATGAGTCGAACTTGGTTGATTTGAATACTCGGTTAAGTCGAGTAAATTTTATAGTCCCGTCGAAGTAAAATTAGTGTAAATTGACCCCGATGCCTCGAAGTACGAAACCAAGAATTTTCGAAAGATTCAGACCTAATGATAAACATTCAAATCGGATGTATTTCTTATGTCACCTAATCATTTTCAAAAGAGATTAAAGCTGAGTAAACATACTTGTTTGTATAACAGTTAAAATGACATGTTTATGGTGACCGCTTATTAACACCTTTGTTGATCGTTCAAGCGGAATGTTAGTGTGTTGAAAATTTTTCATCCGAGATAAAAACGAAACAAATTTAAATGACCCAATCCGAGATTAAATGAATCATTAGATTTAAAACTCATTAATTACAAAAAAATAAAAGGATTAGGACAATTATAATGAATTCATGATAATTTAATGTAAAGCACACCTCATCAGAGACCATTCAGAACTTATTTCGTGCCGCGAGTGATTTCGTAATTTATAGTGACTGACCTTTGTAAATATTTGTGTAGACTATTGATTTTATTTGTGCATGATTTGTACCTGTACTTCTGTGTTAATTAATAGAAGGACCAAAAATGGAGATTGATTACACAATCATAAAGTGTCATATCGAAAAAAGGCACACTGTTCATTGTATCTAGTTTACACAAATCTCATATCATATTTCATGCATTCCAAATTTATGACGACACACTCGACCTTGGATGAGTCGAATACTTTTGTCCGGTCCCTTCGACTTTGACACAACGAGGTTCGACTGTACTCAGAATAATGAGAATTGACTTTAAACCATTTGATAAATACATACACTTGACACTTCCAAATAAACTGATCAAACAATTCACTTAAACCAGGTGCCAATTTCAGTTCTGCCAGCTTTCTCTGTACCTAGAATAAAAAGTTTTGTGTATTGGTTATCTATGACATATTAGAAAGAATTCTTTAGCATGCAGTGTGTGTGTGACTTTCCAAATACATAGGCATCAGATTTCGCAAATTATATTCAATAAATGTGATTTTACAATCATGATCCTGCAACGGTTTTACCAATAAAATTCATAAGTATATCTATTTTAATGTATTGCGTTGTAAATGAGGTATGAGAAGGAATATAGTATTTTCTCTGTTTCACTGTTCAATTATAAAATATTTCCCATATCTAAACAATGAGAAGTATTTATGTAGTTTTTCCCTTATCAAACGAAATAATTACCCCATGAATTCCAAACAGCAATGTAAATTTACATATCCAGTTATCTTTTGCAGTTGACCTTTATTCAGAAATCAAATTTTATCACATATAAAAGTGTGAATTTAGTGCCTGTTGTTTTTCTTACCTTTTTCCGATGTTTTCCTAATAAGAACAAACCCAATACATAAACAACCTCTACTCTCTGTACAAGTTCCTCGGTTATTTTCAGACCCTGCTGGACATTCATAGCACCACCAGCTGATGTTGGCTCAGAAATTCCTGGAATGAAAATTACTTTAAATATGTGGCAAAAAAGAGAAACATTAAACAGACAATACAAATTATATATTGTTCAGTAAAAATTTGAAACCATTCTAACATATTTCTTTATCTGTCTTTTGTCAGTTTCAATAATACTTAACAAATTTGATCAATAAAAAAAACTTTTTTTTGTTATGCTGGTTATCATAAATTCTGACTGGAATAGATCATATCTAAAATCCTTTTTTCTACCTATGCATTTCAGCATTCATTTTTTTACATCTGTAATATGATTGGCCAACTATTGACCAGTCACCAGAACCTTTCTTACCTCCAATAAAGTCCTCATCATCGTCTACTGTGGGTGTGTCGTAAACCTCCTCTGCCATTTGATTTTCTATCCATTCCATCCAACAATCTAACTCACTCACCATTCCCCTGTATCTGGGGGTATCTATTTAAAATAAAAGTTTGTGATTGCATGAGAGGATATTTTTTTAATTCCTGACTGGTTTCATCTTTTTCCAACTACAGTCAAACCTGTATTAAGCAGTCACTCATGGAAAGAATTAAAGGTGACCGCTCAAGAAAGGTGACCTTTTAAATAAGGTTCTGAAAAAATTCCGATTCCAACATAGCACGTGGCCGGGGTCAGGGCAAATTACTTTAATATTTTCAATCGGTAGATTTATAGTTCGTGCTAGCAGACAAATAAAAAATGGTGAATTCTGGTGCTCTTCATTGGAAGATAATATTTGAAATAGTTAATAGAAATAAGCTGAGGATACGGTTTTCAATGGAAACTGAAAGAAGTGGAACACGTTCATTCACAAATTCACCTCCTATTGCGTGATCTCGGTTGCAAACGGGTTCCAATTCTCATTTGGGCCTCGATACTGAACTCATGTATTTTTTGTCATGATAATATTTTCTTATTAAAAACACGAAAATGACGATTTCTTGCAAATTAGGTGACTGCTGACCGTGTTAGACAGGTAACTGCTGAAAAGAGTTAAATTATAAAGAGAAAAGGGATGGTTTGAAAGTGACCGTTACAGACAGGGGACTGCTGAAACGAGGTGACCGTTAAGGCAGGTTTGACTGTAGTTGGCTTTTTTTTAAATTTGATTTTTAATCAATGTGTAGTTCTTTTATTCAGTTGTTCAATTGTGGAATATCAATTATGACATCATATTTTCCTACAGTTCTCTTTTCAATTGTGGAATATCAATAATGACATCACATTTTCCTACCACTCTCTTATTTATCTAATGTGACCATGCCTGCTGATGATGCACAGAAGTGTGTTTAAAATAGTGATTTATCCACACGAGATATAACGTGTCTCACAGAATATGGTGGTAGAATCTGTATACGAATGCTGTACAAGTTAAACTTTTTTTCTTATTTTATTGTAAATCATAATTCACGATTATTTTTCCAGAAATAACTTTACATTTATTCAAAAGTATTTCCTATCAAGAGTTTTTTGATTCAGATGTGTTTAAGAAACACTCAATACTTTTTTCAAGGTTTTATTTTTGCAAAAACTATAAAAGAATAAACAAGTGCACTTAAAGCACTTACAATCTTTCATTACAGCCAAGTTTACAAGTCTGGGCAGTAACTCTGGAATACCAAGTAACAGCTCTGAAATAACAAAACAATTTCCATGACAACATCATTTACCAGTTGTTATTTTATAATTCATATTAGTATTAAAATTACAATTAAGTATCCAATTCTTCTGATTGAGAATAACAAAATTATTTAAGTGTCATCTAACATCCTACATATTCACAATTAATTATTTCTTATCAGCAAGTTCTACATGTAAACTAAAAGAGCAGTGTTCAATAGCAAACCCTGGAAAAGATTACCAACAAGAATGTGTTCATAGTACACGGACTCCCCACTCGCACTATCATTTTCTATGTTCAGTGGACCATGAAATTGGGGTCAAAACTCTAATTTGATAAATCTAATCTGATTGGACTTCAACTTCATCAAAAACTACCTTGACCAAAAACTTTAACCTGAAGCGGGACAGACGGACAGACGAACGGACAAACTAAGGAACGGACGCAGACCGAAAAACATAATGCCCCTCTACTATCGTAGGTGGGGCATAAAAACACACTTCATTTATACTATATTGTATGAATTCCAAGTAATCAACGTCTTTTTTTATCAATATAGTTTTAGAAATATTTTGGCAGAAATTAAGATTTCATAGTAGTATCCAAGATATGAAATATTTTCACAACCCAGTTCTGAATAAAGAATATGGTTTTATTAGACACCATTTCCCATCCCCTCACAATCACACGTCCATGTTCAGTGAACCACAAAATCTTAATCCAAACCCAAATTTTGCAAATATTGTTAAAAGTTCACATTATAACATGTTATAATGAACATGTGTATTAAATTTCAAGTTGATGACCCCAACTTCATGATAAACTTGAGTAAAAATTTAACATGGGACAGACAGGTTCCTGAGAAAAATGTGACAAACATTGGGATGAAGGAGGCAAATATAACAGCATATTGTCCAATAAACCATAGGAAAAACTGACAAAAGACACATGATACAGACCTTTCATTGTATTATTTCTTACCTTGATTAATGTCTCTAACATTTACAAAACCTCTACTTCTTTTCTGTTTATTCTGAGCGAATACTGAAATTATTAAAGATTTTTTTATTCCATTTATTATGTAGCAGAAAATTCTGAAGTAACAACATATTTCAAAATAAAAAAAAAATACTGGGCTGCCTAAAAAAGTGAATGCAAAAATTTTGCTTGTTATGTTAAAATAAACCTCATTTTGCATTTTAATGGAAAATATTTATTATTCATTTTCAGCCTACAACCATAAATAAAAAAATATTTGCCCAATTTAATTCATCTTTTTGGAATAAAGTTTGATTGTAAAGATGGCTTCATGTTAAATGTCCAGTGGCAAACATTATATGCATAGTCAGGATATAATATATACCTCACAGGGTTCTCAATAAGAGAAATAAGTCTTAGACACTGAAAACTTAACCACACAATATCATTAGGGCTATTCCATTCCATGAACTTTGGAGGATATAAAGGATATATTTTGACATAGGTTATGAGTCATTATTTGTTGTATGGGATTTAGGAAGACCCATCCTACCCTACTATATCCAAGGAACACGACTTAAATTGTGTTTTAATATTTTCATGTATTGTGAATTTTAGTTTTAGTTTTAGACATGAAAGACTTTTTTCTAGGGGTTTCACGCATGTTTTATTACTGGTAGAGAAAAACATACAACCTGAACTTACAATACAGAACTTTAATGAGTGATGAACTCACATACCAGTAAACCCAGTCAATATTTGCTTTTAATTGAAGCTGGTCTCAAAACCCTATTGTTATGATCCTACATAACTGTAGGTTAAATCAAATGTAATGCAAATTAGTCATCAAGACCATCATCACCACTACTTTCACAATTTTATGGATATCAAAATAATCTACAATGCAGGTATATAATATGTTTTACATTTCCAACTTACATGAAGATTTGTTTTCATAAATATCAAGGTCTGAGATTGCCACTGCTAATATTCTACAGAAATTTGCCAGTTGTGAGTCGGTCAAAGACAGAATCAGTGTCTTTATATTAGCTACAAAAGAAAAAGATACAATTAATGTCAATCTGAAATCTAAAACCATAATAATATTCCTATTGATTCTTGACAAAATCATACACCTATTGTTTTGGATATAGAGTTTATTCTATAGTGCATCTTTATGGAATTTTATTGTAGTTGTAGGAAGAAAATTTAGGCTGCTTTACTGCAAATTAATAATAAAGAAAACATCACATGACCCCCATTGTTTGAAATGACATTCATAAAGCCATTGGCATCATATCACTGAAATTCTTCAAAATATTTGATAACTGGGGATTCATTCTTCTTTATGGGGTTCTAATTTTTGAACCACAAAAATAAAGGTTTTATTTTCTTTCTAGTTTTGTTTAAATCAAATCCAGACATTAACAAATTATTCATTATATTAAACTATGTAAATCTTATACCAATAACTACTTACTAATTCTATGTAGATCTAAGACTTGTCGTTTAGACTGTAACATATCCTCTATCAACTGACAAGCATTTATAAATGTCTTTGTATGTGATAACAATGTAAACACGTAATTCAGTACTTCATCATCCTCCATCAGGATGTTAATCACATGGTCACCAATGCTCTGAAAAATATCAGGATGTTTTAAATCACATGATCATCAATGCTCTGAAAAATATCAGGATGTTAATCACATGATCACCAATTTTCTGAAAAATATCAGGATGATAATCACATGACCACGAAAAATATCAGGATGTTAATCATATGATCACCAATGCTCTGAAAAATATCAGGATGTAAATCACATGATCACCTTTGCTGTGGAAAATACCAGGATTTTTATCAATGATCACCAATGCTCTGAAAATTTGACATCAATCAAGTCCAAGGTCAGGTAGAAAGAAATGTAGATTTCATTGAACCACATATACATGTATTTCAACCTATGAACAATGCAAAAAATATCCCATACAAGGTTCTCACTTAGATGACTTATTATAAGTCCTTGATAGTTCAAAGACACATCAAATTGTTTCAGCAGTATTATCATATTTAATAAACAATTATCATGATTATGACCTTCATGAAAAGTTAATATCCAAAATCATTAAATCAAAGAAAGGTTATTTTCCTTGAGGTCCATAGGATTTTAATGACTTTGGATATTGACTTTTCATGATGGCAATATTTTTTTACTGAAGTAAATACCAAGGTATAATTATTGTTTATAAATCTTGAGGAGGCTGCCATTTTTTTCCAGATGTCAACAAACGATATGACGTCACTAGCTAGTTGTTATTTTGACATGCAAGGTGTGCCAAATTTAAAAGAGTTATTTTCGCCACACAGATATTCTCAAACAGTTATTTTGTCTACATGCATATTCCCAAACAGCTATTTTGCCTGTGCACAATCTGCCCTCAGAAAAAGGGACAATTTTCCTCATGGAATAAAAAACAAACAGTAATATCTTAATTATCTTATTATTGGATACTATAGTGAAGTATAATAATATATATAATTGAAGCAACAGAATTGAAGATATTCATACTTACAGTTGTAGATATTTTTGTCAAAATTTCCAAAACCAGACTCTTGATTCTGAGTAACAGGTCAGACTCTGGATATCCAACTAAAAGTATAAACAAAATACATTTTAACATAAAGCAGGTATTTCTTTTAAAAAGTTTGTTTAGACCTAAAAAAAAAAGTATTTGTTTTTCTTTTTTAAAATTGAATCATCCTTCCTTCAAGCAAGATGACATCATAATTAACTACAGTTACTGGGTTGTTCAAGAAATGTTATTTTTGGTCTTTGAAGGCATTTATATTAACACATGTAAATATCTAGAGGAAGGAGTGTTTTTTTTCCATAGATATTAAGCAGTAATGCATGCATGGTAACAGTGAAGCTAGAAAAAAATGTCTCCAAAGTCATCTGCTGTAATATTTCGGTAAAAACAGTTTTTTTTGGGGTAAAATTCACTATATATTGAAATTTCAATGGTGTAAGCTCCCTGCTAAGTGAATTATCGTCTCAATTTCTTTTTAACTAAATATAAAAAGAATTAATTTGTAGTGGACCAAATATTGCTAATGAGATCTGTACACAGTGCTTACCTTTGATATTTTTACATGCCTGTGGAAACTGTGTATTAAACATCAAAATTCTCATCAATACCTGAAAGAAATTTGAATTTTTATTCAAAATAAATCTATTTTTTTTGAACGAACTGGTTGTCGTTTGTTGCTGTATGCCATAGCTTGCTATGCAGTATGGGTTATGCTCAATGTTAAAGGCTGTACGCGTATGGTAACCTATAGTTGCTAACTTCAACATTATTTAGTCTCTAGTGGAGAGTTATCTCATTGGCAATCATACCACATTCTGGTTTTTGGTCTTTGTGCAAAAAACAGGAACAAATTATGTTTTTATCAATTTAGTATAAATCAAATTTTACCTATAACAACCAACATTAACCATATAAATAATATTGTGTGCAGTTGAAATAATATATAAATTTGGGCAAAGTAGCAAAAATCTTTAAACATGAATTTGAAGTGACTGAATAAAATTCTACAGTTCTGAAGATAATGTTTAAGGTTTCATGTTTAAAAAAAGTCAGACATTTTTGAAACACTATTGTACTACCTCCACACCACCATGTTCATAGAACTGTGCTGCATATTTTTGTTGTTCATCATCTGCATTTGACTCTTCATTTGATCTTCTGGGTTCAAAGTTCATCAAATTACCCAACAACGTCTGTAATAAAAGATCAACTGCTCAGCATTATGGAAACTTTTTATTGTAAATTCCTAGTTTTTAAAATATTCTCTTCAGAAACATATACCCTGTCTGTCGCCTGCTATTGCTACTGTCAGAGTAAAAGTGTAATGTTGACCAGGGTTGGCAAAAACCCGGGTTTTAAGAGTATTGCCGTGCCCAGTGGGAAATACTGGGAAAAACCCGGGTTTTACTGGGCAATATGATATACTGGCCTGAATTTAAAGATACAAATGTATTTATAAAAATAAGACATAGGAATTTGATTTATAAATAGGTTTACTTGTTTGAGACTCTAGTAACACAAGTAAAAGCTATTGCTCACTGATGATACCCCCGCCGAAATATTTCAGTAAACAGGAATTTGTTGAGTGATGAATCTGAAAACACATCACACGGTGTAACGTACTTATATAAACCCTGAAACCAAATTTCAGAAATCCTTGTCAAGTAGTTCCTGAGAAAAATGTGACGAAAATTTTCAACTTGGCTATCATGTGTAAAATAATACAAGTGTTCAGTAAACAGGAAGTTGTTGAGTGATGAATCTGAAAACGCATCACACTGTGAAACTTACTTATATAAACCCTGAAACCAAATTTCAGAAATCCTTGTCAAGTAGTTCCTGAGAAAAATGCGACGAAACTATTCATAGGACGGACGGATGGACTGACGGAAGGAGAGACAGAGGTAAAAAAAAACAGTATACCAAAAAGGGGGGGGGGGGGGGGGGTATAACAAGTGTACAAATCTGATAAAGTTTTGTTCATGCAAATCTGAGACACATAAGACAAAATTAATGGGAAATGTTTTTCTCAATAATCCACCTAAAAATCTATTATTACACCATTCTTTCTAAATTGGTAAAACTGTTAAAATAAAGCCTAAGAATTCAATTTGCATTTTTTTCAAATATATATAGCTAATACAAATAATTTATAATTATATGTAATGGAAGGAAAATTACCTTTAAATTATATCTGTTTTTTGATTAAAATGTTTACTAAGTTTCTGACAGCATATTTATATGTACATCACTAATTAATTATTCAGATTAGAACACAAATTTGTTTGGATAGAACTGACATTCAACTGGATACAGTTTTAGAGAGAATGTCTGTATTTATATTTTGTTTTTTTTTTATTATAAATTTTGCATCAATGTAAATGTAGGATTGAAGATTTCCTGCATTGCTCATACTTCTACTATGCAGTGTTCTCCCCAGACTGATATGACGCTGTGGTCCCGCAGCGCCTTCAAAAATATTTTCGTTGATCCCGCAGCGCCTTAATTGGCCGCTGTCCCTTAATACTTGATCCCGCAGCATGTTAATTTTCACATTTTAATTATAAATGTTGGTTAAAATTGTCGTTGCTGGTTGTGAGCTGAGAGGTCAGTCAATGTTGCGCAATAACTGATAACTAGTAAAAGTCTCTTATTTACACGTCCCAGCCTTATCAGACCATGTAATCGGGTTATAGCGTAAATGATCATCAAGAAGATAGATATTTTTAGTAGAAAATCAAAGTTTTTAAAAACTTCAGTGCAAAATTGATGAAATAGATCGCAAATACATTGTCTGTGTGCGATCACTTGGCCATTTAAATAACGAATTTTTTCATTGGTCGAGAAGAAGAATCTATTTAAACACGTCCAATGAACATGATGAATACACGTGATAAATTTGAATACACATTACTAAAGAAATTAATGATGAAATTTATGAATGAGAGTATCTGTACGTCAAAAAAGTAAAATAAACTTTTATTAAAAATAATGAGGAGTGATTTATTTTATTAGGAAGTGAAAAATTGTTGCTTGCAAGTAAAATTCGCCTGTCAACTGTCACGTTTTAGAAATAAAATAATTTTTTAACATCGATCGTTAATTCGTCCATCAAGAAATATGTACAGAATCGCTGCAGCAGTTGTATAATGTCACTAGTAAAGTATTTCACTGGTCTTAACCTTGACGAATTTGTCTAGTTTCGTTTACATCTACCTGCCAAAGAAACGTTTTGACAATTATACACACGGAAGTGTAATGTCAAAGTACGGACACTGGTCAGCTGGTTCATTACAATTTTTTTGTTTTAAAAAGTTGTATACCAAACATCTTAAACATGCTGAATCAACATGTTCTTTGCAAAGAAGAAATGGGTTAAGCGAAAGGCAGATGATGTTTTCAACCCTAAAGAGAATAAAAACTGAGAAACAGGCTGTCCAATAAAATTACAAACTGTCTTGTTACTATATCTCTAGAAGGAACAGACAGTAAAGAAATAAATATTTCTGAAGCTGTTCAGAAATGTAAGGCCCAGAAGAACATGAGGATTTTTCTTGAACTATATATGCATTTTGACTTATTTAATTGACTGTGATATAAATGCTTTTTGTGTTTAAAATGAATTTATTTCATATATATATTCTTATTCTTTATCATGTATATTAATACTGTGCATTATTGCATATAATGATTTATGATCGATTGCTTCAGGTCACAATAGTTCACTCTAAAATAGTTTTACACGCCCTTGAAGTTTTGCGCTTTAAAAAAATTCTGGGGAGAACACTGCTATGTCTCTAACAATGATATTTTATTTATTTCTATTTTACTGATAAATGGACTTAGTTTTTGGCAGTCAACAATTCAAGGTTGGCAAAGTATTAACCGGGTGGGAAAACCTGGGATTTCCCGGGCTGGGCAATACTCCCTGAAACGGGTAATACAAATTTTTAAGCTTATTTTTACACTAAATAGTTAAGACTTGTTGTAGTTTAATAGTATAGCTAAATATACACATTTCATACAGATAACCATTGAGAGTCAGTTCTAGAGGATTTAAAATTCAATTTCTTCCTTTTCTCCGCTAATTCAATGTAGGCTGAATACAAGATTTGGACATTTTAGGATACCTTGTTAATTGCCAAGCTTTGTTTCAATAATCCAACCTTTTGTTTCAGTGAATTGTAATTGTTATACCATCCTATTGTGTAATAAACACCTTAAGGGGACATGTCATGAACACTTATACAGTAGTAATGAAAAGACAGATTATTGTTATACATATCCTCTCCACTAAGACTATTTCATTTCTAGAACAAATTACCTTGAGATTCTCTAAACACAGATCATCATCTGCATCCATATGTGTACTGAAGTAGTCTAACTCTGCTACTATCTCAGGGATACCACTCCCCTCACCTATCTCCTCAATCACATGTTCTGGCAACTAAATAAAGATAACAAAACGAAAGTAGAAATAAGACAACTGCAGATTATTCTTGCCGCATACAAGTAATAAAATTCTATCATTAACCCAACTAATGAAGTCCACTACAAATAATTTTACTACTGCAGTGCAGTGGTCATCTGGAACATTCCTTTGTTGGAATATTTTATTTTTACATGTAGTCTTAGTTAACTAGCATTTCAAAGCAACAATTCCTATGGTTAGATTTCCAATAATATTTCCTTTGCAAACAATTACTTTGAAAAAAAACTTGCTGATCATTGAACATGTAGCTAAAACATGAATTAATACTATTATTAGTCAACAGAACAGTATTAAAATTTTAACCACATTTACCAATACATTTGTATATGATCTTTAAAACATCAATTAGTATTATAGCAAAGTGAAATGCTAGACCGATATATGGCTCAGAGAAACAAGCTCCCAGGTACGAAAATTAACACTCGTTCCTCAAACTTATAGTTACTGTCAACAGCAGATTGTGTAATGTTATTTCAACTTGACAGAAATCTTTAACATTGAACTGTTAATATTTTTAATGACAATATGTGTACTTAATAATAACATAATAAATCATAGGGCATAACTCAAGTAAATCTCCATGGGAAAAAGCATTCTTAGGCATAATAAAATTAAACCTGTGTTACTGTTAACATGCTGAAAAAAATTAGGGTAGGTTCTCTAAAGGTTTCAATTGCTTGACACGCTACTACAATTTGTGGTTACAAGTACCATTGTATTATTGTTTGTGGAAAAAACGACTGTCTTTTGAGGTGAATATTTGCCAAAATGATTGGTTATGTGCTTTTCTTGTTCTAGTATCTGTTGGTATAAGGACTAGCAATGGAATGGCAATGAGTCCATGGATGACTTTGTAGAACATAATCAGCCTGGTTTTGTGGCGTCGCTCAGCAAGTGAGGGCCATTGAAGATTGTTTATCATGGATGTATCACTACTGGAGTACTGGTGTTGTGGTAGTTGTTACATACATAAAGGGCAGCACGCCTCTGTACCCAGTCAAGGATATAACTCTATAGGGTTATTAGAGAAAAATAACATACGCTTGTTATTGTGGACAAAAAAATCAAAGAACTGTGATAACATACATTTGTATGTATGTTACATGTTTCAAAGGGACAATATACATCATTAGTTTTGTTAAAATGTATACAAGTTCTATTGATATTGCTACTGTCTTTATGTATACTTAACTATAGAAAGATATATAACAGTTCATATTTTGCCAATCATGCATATCACACCTATGTTATTACAGAACAAATATGCCTGTAATAACTAAAAGGTGTTATTATAGCTTCTCTACATCACTTCAAAGCGTTTGCTCAGACATAGATCATGCTCAATTACAATGTATTTTAATTTATTGTAAGAAGTAATTATCAGAGCATGTAATGAGGTTCTGCGCAAGCTTCCCAGTAATTCCCAAGTGTCTCATTTAACAAGTTACGTGCCTTTAATAACTAAGCCTTGTTATTACAGCTAAGTTAATCACATAAAAGCCTTGTCTCATTGATTTACCATGGTTAATGAAAAATGTATTAATCTAAATTTATAGTTAGTTATCAAGGCTATGCATTTAGTTTCTGCGCAAAGTTTCAAGAGTTCCCTAGAGCCCACTAAAAATAAAAATATTTATGATTTATTTTACAAATAACAAACATATGTTATTACAGATTTAGTAAATTTAAGGATTAAAGAGTAGACAACTCATAAAAGTATCTGTAATAACACATGCAAGTTATTTTCTGTAATAACCCTATAGAGTTACATGTATATCCCTGACTGGTACCATTTCTAGTTTATTTTTGTATTCTGTTGTGTGTGGATCCCATAAACTACAGGCGTATTCAAGTTTTGATTTGCACAGGATTTGATGTTGGTGTTTGATACTTTTAGGTTTCTCTTCAGGAAGCTAAAGATTTGTTTGCATTTCATATGATGTTGTCATACATGTAGTCATTGTTCCTCCAAATTTGACTGTTAGGTTAGACCAAGATATTTTGCTGATGTTACTGGTTCTAAAGTACAGTTATGCAGGATGTAATTGTGTTTGAATGGTTTCTTTTTCTGTGTGATGGTTAGAATAGTGAATTTTCCATATATATGTGCCTTCTGGTAAAAGGTTGCTTTGAATCTAGGCCCTGAAAAACCTTCAACATAAACAGCATTAAAACTTCTTTCTTGTTTTCTTTTTTAAAGGATATCATTGGACATCATAAAAGATAACAATATTTCCAGAAAAATTTGTAACTGATAAACAAAACATAAGCATACATGTATGTCTACAGTTTCTAAATCTGAAAAAAACAGTAACCTGTGGTAAATTATTTATTAAACATAGAGGCAATCTATTTTTCCTTTGAAACTATTAAATACATTTGTTTGCAATCTTGTATGGACTACTGTCTGTCAAGAGGCGATTGATTGATGGTTGCTTAATGTCCAGTGGCAAATATTTCATGCATGTTCAGGCCGAATCAATAGAAGAATGTGAAGATTAGATTCAATTTTAAAATGGAAAAACCCAGGTGAGGCACGAACAGCACAGCATCAGAGGATTAAATTCACACCAATAAGATTCAAATGTCGAATTATATCCCATTCTTAAATAAGACACATAAATAACTTAAATTCATTAAAGTAATGCATACAAAGGAAGACCAATCTTTGTTTACATTTCTCAAGATGAATGTGAAAGTCAAAATAAGGTTGGGATTTTTTTTTTTTCAGTTGTCGGAACAAACCTGACTTAGGCGTTTGTAGGCATTTCCTGAATATTGCCATTGTTCTTGGGCAAGAAATACAGAAGTTTTACTGGGGAAAGTTCGCTTTTTATGTCGTATCATTGTCTTTTTTAGCTTTCTCTTTCACTGAACAGCTGAAACTGAGCTCGGCGGTAAAAATTATCTGCGCATTCTTCCGCACGCACTTCCTGCAATCGCATATATCATTAAAAATATAATTCATTGTTTGAAAGAAAACAAAATACTGTAAAATCAAACAGCTGCAAATCATATTAAGCATATAATAAATTAGTCCAATTTGTGCATGACAAAATAATTCGTCCTTTAGAATAATTATTTTCAACATTTACAATGATGTAAGCGACTCATAACAGTTGCCCATGGAGAGGTGTGACGCTTCGTGGAGCTAGAAATAGAATGTTGTCCTTATACATGTGAAACGGTATTGATTTTGTTTCTTTTGTAAACAAATTAAAGACTTTTAATCATGATGTTTCGTTTTTATATGACAAAGTTAGATTTAAGTTTGTAAAGCAGTTCAAATGATGGATTAATTTTGTAATATTTTAGTGAAAATGAACTATGACACGAGATATAATAAATACTAAGTAAGGTATGTATTTTTTCTTTATCTTTTTTAACATACATTTAGCGAAGGAAAATGACAATTGTGCTTAACTGTTTTAAATTTTCGCAAAGCAGTGATTTTTTTTTATCTCTCTCTAAATGTTTAATTGTATTTACCTTTAACATATTTAATTGAGTAGTTATGAGGGATTCTATACACTTTCGGCTTGAACGACCTACATTTTCACTGTCAAATGCATGCAGAATGTAAGAATAAAAGGTAAATAGTTAAGTTTTTTTTTAAATTTTGCTTAATATTTTTAGCTTGAGTATATATACATGATATATACATGGTATATGGACAAACTTTTAATTTTGCAATGATTCATCACCAAAAGTGGCAATAAAAATGTAGATGTTGAGAGGCTTAAAAAATTAGGATTGGTAGGAAAACCAATTACAAAAGTTTTGGGTCTAATTGGCCATAACGTCTGCTGACGGTATAAATTTGAACAATTTCGATTTTTCCAGATCCCTCATTATTGACACAGCTTATAGAGGCGTCATAAAAAAACAAAATAGCCTTAAGGTGTCATTTTTAATTATTTGGACTAAATAGCATTTTATCTATGTTTCAAATGTGTGTAACATTGAGGAATTAGCGGCTATAGTATTAATCCTGTGATCAAAAGTCTAAATCTCTGGCTATACAACTCAATTGTTGCAGTATATGGGATTACAACTTAACAAGTGCTTCCCCATAATGGGGCGTAGCTAGACTAAAATGATGTGCACGCCTATCTACCGCCAAAATTTTTTGGACCATTTTATGTAGAAATTGATATTTTTTGCACTTTTCGGTCATAGGAGGGTTAAAAAGGAGGTGCTACATAGGACTTATAGACAATTCATGAATGCAAAACTATTCAGAATTCTTTTGAATAGGGTAAATCATGGTAAATTGAATACATAAGCAACACATTTTTGTGAGACAGAATTTACTCAAAATTGTTCAAAATCTGCTCTTCGGGTCTTGCATGTAGCAGAAACGAACTTCTCCATTACTTTGTCAATATTCACACTTAAATCCCGATGACTATGCATTAATACTTGTGATGATAACCTATCGTTAATCATGGTTGATCGTACATATGTTTTCAACCGACGTAGTACACTGAACGATCTCTCCGCGGTAGCACTTGTTATCGGGGTGCATTGTCAACATAATACTCAAAATAGTTTCTACAGAAGGATACAGCACTGGGTTACGATAAATTCGGGTTCAAACGTTGTAATTTACACAATCTTTAGCAAGTTTAGTATAATAATAATTCGGGTCTGTTATTAATAATTTAATTAGGACGTGTGTACTTTTCCAAATTGACTGTTTTTCGGGGTAGGGATTTTTATATCTACTAATGAATTGGACACAATTTTAAATTAATTTCAGCATACCCCTTCAAATCCAAAGAGTTACCCCTGGCATATGCTATTCCATGATTTTGGGGAAACGTTTTACACACTTATAGTGACTTGGAAGAATTAAAATCAACATACCTCGCCGGGAAGTCAAAATTATTTACATCTTTCTAGTTGGATGTTAGTAATTGCATCTTAACTTCTGTTATCTGCAAATTGGAATCGTGCAGGCTTGACATGTCTGGGTACGGAGCGGTGTTGGCTTTGGAGGTCAAAACTGAGATGGAGCTTGCATTTGCTTTTTCACTATCATGATTTATTCTCTCAGACTCTGGCAAGGGTTGTTGGGAAATGAGTTCTTCCGAAGAACCTTTCGTTTCTGTTGAAACGGGTTAAGTAAAAAAATGTCAATAGTTTTCCATTTAGCATTTTCACCTTTTTCGACGTCATGTCGTGTTCAACGCCTGACATCTTATGTGCGTATACATACCAGAAACGTCAACCAAATGCCGTTATTTAATGACATTTCATCAATTAAAAAAGCGACAACATATATGTGTTTCCTTTAAACATTTTATTCATATTTTTTTTTTGGCCATTTTTATTTTTTTCAGCATGCCGAAGTGCACGCAACTGCGTGTTGGCGTATAGGGAGCTTCGCGCCCTGGCCAATTGATTTTCCGTTTCCAGCTAGTGATTGTCAAATTACCCTTTATTGTAGATGATGTTTTCTAGTGAAGGAACCATCGCTCATGACCCAACTCTTCCTCATTTCATGGGTTTGACAGTGTGACATTTACCAATATTAATTTTGAACCAACATCAGCGGAATTGAAAGCAACCTTTACAATTTGAACAAGTATATCGTTAAGAGCTTCATCATACATGAAGAACGCATTGGAAACTACATAATAATTATTACAAAGAGCAATCATGGGCCCCCTTCATCATTTAGAGTATGCTTAAACTACATGTCAAGCTTAATAAGACTCAACTATAAGTTAGAATATACACAAAATGTTTAAGTACTAATTTGCAATTGAAACTGATTTGGTTGCTGCAAGGCTGTCCTCTTTCACATATCAACAGATCGTCTCCATCTTATCCTACTTCACATACCAATTAATCGTCTGTATTTTGTCCTCTTTCACATACCAATAGATCGTTTGCATCTTCAATCTTTTCCTCTTTCACATACCAATTGATCGTCTGCATCTTGTCCTCTTTCACATAGCAATAGATAGTCTGCATCTTGTCCTCTTTCACATACCAATAGATCGTCTGCATCTTGTCCTCTTTCACATAGCAATAGATCGTCTGCATTTTGTCCTCTTTCACATACCAATTATGAATAGATCGTCTGCATCTTGTCCTCTTCACATACCAATAGATCGTCTGCATCTTGTCCTCTTTCACATACCAACAGATCGTCTGCATCTTGTCCTCTTTCACATATCAATAGATCGTCTGCATCTTGTCCTCTTTCACTTATCAATAGATCGTCTGCATCTTGTCCTCTTTCACATACCAACAGATCGTCTGCATCTTGTCCCCTTTCACATACCAACAGATCGTCTGCATCTTGTTCTCTTTCACATATCAACAGATCGTCTGCATCTTGTCCTCTTTCACATACCAATAGATCGTTTGCATCTTGTCCTCTTTCACATACCAATAGATCGTCTGCATCTTGTCCTCTTTCACATACCAAATAGGGCGTCTGCATCTTATCCTCTTTCACATACCGATAGGTCGTCTGCATCTTGTCCCCTTTCACATACCAATAGATCGTCTGCATCTTGTCCTCTTTCACATACCAATAGATCGTCTGCATCTTGTCCTCTTTCACATACCAAATAGGGCGTCTGCATCTTATCCTCTTTCACATACCGATAGGTCGTCTGCATTTTGTCCTCTTTCACATACCAATAGATCGTCTGCATCTTATCCTCTTTCACATACCAACAGATCGTCTGCATCTTGTCCTCTTTCACATACCAAATAGGGCGTCTGCATCTTATCCTCTTTCACATACCGATAGGTCGTCTGCATCTTGTCCCCTTTCACATACCAATAGATCGTCTGCATCTTGTCCTCTTTCACATACCAATAGATCGTCTGCATCTTGTCCTCTTTCACATACCAAATAGGGCGTCTGCATCTTATCCTCTTTCACATACCGATAGGTCGTCTGCATTTTGTCCTCTTTCACATACCAATAGATCGTCTGCATCTTATCCTCTTTCACATACCAATAGGTCGTCTGCATCTTATCCTCTTTCACATACCAAAAGATCGTCTGCATCTTGTCCTCTTTCACATATCAACAGATCGTCTGCATCTTGTCCTTTTTAGCATACCAATAGATCGTCTGCATCTTGTCATTTTTGTCAATAATCGTAGCAAACCTAACCTCATTCTTCGACTGGATGCACCTTTGCGCCAACCAAACATGCATTTTGTATAAGTAAGCTATTGGTGCTCCTGTATTTTGACTGAAAATAGCGTTATTTGTCCACTTGTTTTTTCAGTCTTGAGACTTAAAGAAGTTAAAAAGAAGAAAGAAAAACTTACAAAAAGAAGCAATACAAACTACTAGACACACATACAATAGTATCTCATGTTTATTTTCTGAACCATGATTAAGTAATCTTTAAATGCTTTAAACATATCAGGTTCAGTTCGAGGGAGATTTCACAGTTCATTTAATATTCATAGTCTAGTGTGCTTAAGGTCTGGTTTTAAAGTGTGTCTATTATCTCCTGTTACGGGTTTAAAATATCAGTTATGTTCAGAGTACTTTAATGTGTAAATATCAGGTAGCTAAATAAAGGTAACAATACTTCAAATTCTTGTTCTTTATAGATATGTGTTATCGTGTTATTTTAATGGATATAATTCCTGTCAACCAGGTTTGTCGCATAACATATAAACAATGAAAAAAAGTTAAATTTAGTTTGATCTTTGACTTTATATCGATATTATAGACTAACATGATTTTTCATTGTACGATCTTCTGATTGTCATTTACTATTACATTAGTAGATATTCAAAAAGGGGGATGACTGCTCCAAAAATATGTCTTTCCCCTCCACATGTTAATGTGGATTACGTGATGGATGTCTCAAGTCAAGAAACCTCGATAGTTGTTGTCTTTAAATAGTTATATTTAACTTGAAGGGATATGATGTTGGAATATCTTTAAAAAGTCTGTTATTGACAACTCAGTCTCGATTTAGTGTTTAACATTTTGTATTGACACTTGTCTATAGTGTTGACCTTAAGAAGTCAGTTGATTAGCTTTTGGCAGCATGTGCCCTATGTATCCATATTTATACTCAAACTCAGTCAAATTCATGCAGAATTGCAGTTCAGCGTAACTGATTTTAAGATACATTAATTTACCAGAGTATTCTTTATTTTAAAAATTCTTTGATCTCCATGTCAACTTTCTGATTTTGACTATTGTAGTCTATGTGAGAAATACCCATCTTCATTCAAGTGGCTCGATTTATCGGTTGAGTTACAGTAAATTTGTGAAAACACATATTTTGTGAGACTTTGCGTACAACTATATAAGGCTTCAATTAAAAATTGAAAAAAATAATGCATTTATCTATTAAATTTTTGAATAGCATTGAAATATATAAATAGATATTTTGAGAAATTTTACGAACATTTTTTTTAAAAAGAGGGACGAAAGATACCAGACGAACAGTCAAATTCATAGATCGCCATGGCCAAACATAAAAAAAAAAAACAAACAGACAAATAATAGTACAGATGACACAACATAAAATGTGCACCTATATTTAGGGCTTTCACTCAGCAAATAACTGTTTGGTATGTCCCGAACCAGAAATATCGTAACTGCTGTCTTTAGTTATATCTTAATATGTTTTGTCATATAGAGAATTAGTATTGATGGCAGATCGTCGATATTATCTGTTAAATTTGCACGCAGCTTATCATGACTCGAAGCGATTTAGAATTTGACATATTGTGTAGAAACTTTCCGGCGTATGTTTACTTCTACATGTGAATGTTGGATTTCAAGTTATACGTAGTAAGATAAGGGGTCTCATCGATGCATCTCCTTTAATTAAAAACGTTTTATGAGTAAATTTCAGTTAAACATGTCAAATTGAATGCAAAATCTGACACAAATCATTGCCATCGCCCATTTAAGTTTCCTTGGCCTAAAACGTTATGTAAAACTGAAAAACTACCATTTAAAAAAAAATGTTTTTTTTTTACTGGCATGAAGGATTTGAAACATTTTGATTTTTTGTACTAAAACTAAGATTGTAACTCACTTCAGTTCAACACTTAAATAAGGGACAAGAGAAGTTAACCGATTTTGAAAGATCGTCACAATCCATTTTGAGTATGAAAACCAAGTGAAATTGTATGCGGAAATCGCAAGAACCCCAAAACGGAGCGAGACCAGGTGTTGGACTGGGTAAGCGTCTCTTGTTATACATGCATCACCTGCCATTTGATTCAAAACTCCTTCCGCTGGCTTAAAAGAGTAATAATCAAACTCAGAAAATGCCATGGTAAAAATACTAAAAAAGACAAACAACATTCAACACTGAAACTAAACATTGAGTGACACGAATGTCACCTAAAAGCGGGGATAAAGTTCGGTTATTTTCATTTTCCTGGTTATATCATACTGGTTTTTATTCTCTTAGTCCTTTGCGCTTGACAAACTAGATTCATCGAGCGTGCATCTTTCCTGGTGAAATCGGATGCAAATAAGAAACTTTTACAGCTCACTGTGCATTGAAATTTGCTGCTTAATAAATAAATTCAAAATTTGGATGAAGTTCAAGATTATTTATTTATTCACGAAATCTGTTGTTGAAGTTTGTCCATTGGCCAATATTACAGAGATATTAAGGACGATGCTACATAATACATTATTCTTTATCTTTTCTGTATCTTTTCTCATCTTTTTCATTTAGCCCATCAGTTTGTAAAGTATGCAGCTGGTGGATCCAAAAGTTTTCTCTTCTCCTTCTCGCCGTGGTGTCCCACTCAGTGTTCACTGCTGTGATTTAAAAGTAACATTATCAAAAGGATGTTTCTTTGAGCGCAGATGTCTGGTTAGAGGACAGTTTTTGTTGGTTTTGTACCATGATCGGTGGTTATTTAGCCGAATATTAAATTTGTCCATTGTTTCTCCCACGTACTGAATGCCACAGGTGTTACATGTTAATAAAAAAATTGACGTTTTGAGTTATATGCACTCATATATATTTAGATTAATATATACACTGTTTTTGTATTTTATTTTCTCAATATGTGTTTTTTTTTATTTCAGAAAAAGTGGTAATTTCTTCTATGACGGAATAACCAAAGTTGTAGAAAGGATAAGCAATTGGCAATGAAAACAACAGAAAGTGATTTAAGTAATGCAAATTCAAATTGTAAGGTCATTCTAAAGAAAAATGGCAGTAGAGGTTCATATGAACGAAAATCGTCAACTGCTGACTGCTCTGACCGGTTTTAGCGAAGAATCAAAGTATGATGACGTAAATAATTTAAAAAATACTGTTAATGATAACTGGAACGAAGCAGTCACACCATGGAAGGCTGTTTCTTCACACCCGAGATACTATCCTTACCAAACATCTCTCGTGATTAAACGAAAATCTAAACCTACTGACAATAGGGTACCAGACTGGCAGAAAACCAGTTCAGATGGCGAAGCCAAGCAAACTGTTCGTTGTGTTGGTGATGAATTGGACAGTGGTTCATATTTACACTGGAAAGGAATGGTCGAACAAGTTACATACAGATACGTGCCTCACAATGGGTACTATAGAACAATGAAATTTTTAGGTTTAGATAAAAGGGAATGGTTCACTGTAAACAAAAAACAACCAGAGCAAGTATCTATGAGCTGGCAGAGCAAAAGATATCAGAAAGAATTGAAACGCCAATTAAAACGCGAATTTGAAAAACAAAACAAAAGAGAAAGTGATCAAAAAGATTCATTGAAATTACAGTTAACTCAATTAGACATACAATCGGAAGAGACCTGTTTGGATATATCGGAGAAACAAGAAACTAGAAACGACCAATCACGTAGACGCGCGAAAAGTACGAAATCATCCGACTTTTCTAAACGTTGCCAGAAAGACCAAGACGGGTATCTTATTCCAGAAATCAAAAGTGCTCCTTTATTGCCTGGAGATTTATATAAATCTAGAAGTGACCTATATATTGAAAACATTTCATCGCGTATAAACGCCTTAGAAAAAGAAATAGCGAACGATACAAGATTACGGAAACCTCAGGAAGATCCTGTAAAACAGCTGTTTAGACCTAAAGGAAAGGAAAAGGGAACAGAAAGAGATGTAACTCCTCGTCCTTATAAGAAAGAATCATTACCAGAAGAGGTATTTACTGCCAAAAGTATAGGGACAGTCACACAAGAACTAAAACCTCCGGAGAAACTTAATCCAATCACACGGCTGTCAACAGCTTCCACGTCCGATTCTAAAAGTGCACCCGTCACTCAGTTAAAATATACAACTTCGTCAGGAAATAACGCTGCCAGTTTTAATCTACCAACTCTTGATCTCGAGAAAACGTTAAATTCGTACAAGATGGCAATAGAAAACACAAGACAATCTTTATTAACAACTCTCAATGGAAAACAAATTGCGCGGAGAACTATTACTAGTAAGAACTATAGTTCACCAACAACCATCACAATATGTGACAACGGATCCGACAAAGGATCGATTCAGGATTATATCCAGCCACTGAAGGGAGATAAGCGGTTCAGAAATAAAAAGGAACCGCTAAATGGTGTCGCTGCTCTTTTGCCCGAAATCGCGGGAAAGCGATTAGAAGTTCCAACGACTACACATAGATGGCTATAAAAATTACAGGACGTCGAATTACGTTAAATTCTGTAAGATAAAATGAAGTAATCTATGATAAAGTGTAATACAAAAAAAAGTTTGAAGCCTGAACAACAGTGGTTTTCGTAACCCGAATAATACACTCACTCCCCGTAATCGACTCTCCCACTCGCGAGGGTTTAGCCCCCGTAGAGCAACGGAATATAACGACTGAATTATTCGGGTTATAGTTTTCGTTGTTTTGTGAATGAACTAATTCCAGTCAAAAAGAATGGTGCTTTGATGCTATGTGCACTAAATAACTAACTTGTTATCTTCGTTTTCAATGATTTACATATCTGTGGAAATGCAAAATGCGACTGATTTATTTCATTTTTCTAAATTTCTGATAGTAAAATGTCGAGGATGATTTCTCATATTTAACATTCACTAAGTTTTAAGTTAGAAACTATTGGTTAATTGATTTATGTTCGATGTCAGAGGCGAAAATTAATGCATACTAATTTCAATTGAGGACTAACAGTAGTACATTTAAAAAATTGTCTTTGTTTTTATTTTATTTTGCTATTCGTTTATTTTTTAGAATTTGAAAGTAGAAATATGACAAATTTTAAAATAAAACTAAAAGGATCGCAAATAACAGTATACCTGTTTAAATCCATGGCTTTTCTGATGCGCTTTGCATTTCCATGTGTAAAAATTCAATATTTGAACATGTTACTGTATAAAATATGGATAATTTATGACATCCATTTAATCAGATTTTTTTTCCATTTGAATCAAACAGTTGGTAGGAGTGCAATACGCTCAGAGTGCCAAAATACTCGGGATTCAAAAGAACGATTAAGGAATTTAGCTCATTATTTTACTGCCAAAATCAATACAATTCATTTTCAACTTAAAATTAATCCTACATGCAAATACCAACAGCTTAGAAATTGCTGACCACGGAATACAATGTAGAACTGTAATTCCAATAAATAAGTATATTGTAAGGCCTTGAAATCACAAAACCAATTAAAATGATTGAATTTAAAGATTAATCATAGAATAAGAATGACATCATTTTTGTTTATAGTTTAAGATAAACATAAAAGGATAGCACAAGTTACCAAACATATCGGACAGCACAAAAGATCAACACAACCATCAACGATCGTTTCCTCCGACAACATCAACGTGCAAACACACACCAATTATTTTTGTAGCAGCGAAGTAACTTCTGGTATTTTTTATGTTTCAATGAAACTGAAACCACCCCAGTCATTTGTATGACGAATCGTGTACCATTTACCCTGGAAGGTCACAAACAATTTACATGTACATGTATAATCTTGTTTTTTTTCTTTTTCATTGTGCAATCACTTTGTTAATATAGTGCCTTTTTTGGATTGTTTGAGCAATCCTTATTGTTTTATTTGTATAAAATGTTTATTTGTAACAAATATTTATTTACAACATTAAATATGTATACTCTTTTATTTTTATAGTTGTTTTTGTTGGATCTTTAGGAATTGTTTTGTATACCTTCGTCAAAGTGATTATTGTGGGTTTTTAAAAACCACAGTTTATATACATCATTCTAAGCAGTCTTTTTTAATAAACTGCTTTTGAGAAGCATTTGTAAACTTAGCGTTTGTTTTAATTGTTCATGTCGCACTACAAAACTGTAATGAAAATGATTATTTATTTATTTAGTTTGTAGAGAGAACTTACCCACTAGAAATACCGTTTAACTTTAGTTATACGAAGGTCGTAACTCGTGCGCACAAGTTGCAGTGGCGAATCCAAGGGGGGGGGGGGGGGGGGGTGGTTCCGGGGATTAGAACACCCCCTTTTTTTGACGATCAATGCATTTAAATAGTTGGAACCCCCCCCACCCCCTTTTAAAATTGGCTGGATCCTCCCCGGAGTTGTGTAACTTGTGTGCACAAGATGTGTAACTTGTTAGTTGGTTACTCGTGCGCACAAGATGTAATTTTATTTTTGCATGGTACTCTAGGGCTTCCGTAGATTGGACACTAAGTGCATCAGTTTGTTCGTCCTTTAAACGGTTCATCGAGATAATACTTACAGGTCACTTCTAACTTTTGATATTGAAATCAAATCAATCAGATCCATATATACTCTCTAGATGGTTAAATGTCGGTCCCGTTCTTATCTTTTTACACTCTTTAACTCAATCGATGTTGCTCTCAAGACTATTGTGGTCAAAACAATCTTCATTAATTTGCTAACAACACAAAATAACAACCGATATCCTATGTTTCTAGTAATTTAGCCCAAATCGATCAAAAGACCAATTTTCGTATTATCACGGATCAATGTAATGACAATTATGTTATTATAACGATCGATGAAATACAATATTACGTGTATGTAATTTCCTACATTGACAAATTCCTTTGAATTTTATTTAACAAGTTTTATCAAGTGCTTTCTGTTACATTAAATTGAACTCTTTTTAAGTCAATTATGAGAGCAGTTATTTGGAAGAACGCATTTGTTTAATCGAAAAGTATTTTAAATACACACAATTAGTTTGCCAAATATCTTTAGTCAAGTGCTTTTAGTACAACTGTTTCTCTTTCAAGAAAAGGCTGTATTCAGTCTTCTTTCTTGGATAAAGGTTGCATACCTTTTGATATAGAATAATTTAAAAGATTATTCAAACGAAAGCAAGTTACCATCAGCGAAAGCACTTTTTATTTCAAATGTTATGGTCACTTGCTTTCATTTCGTATACATTTTCTCAAGCACAGCATAAAGTTCTTATACTTAATATAGATTTTCAAAATAAAAAATGTATTTTATTCACATTTTGAATCTGAAATTAAACACAAAACTATAGTAGAGATTGTCTAGTGAAATGAAAGCATTATCATTCCTTGTGAAATCAATTACAATAAGACATACATGCAGATGATCATAGCTAAAATTGGAATATGAAGATGTCGATTTCAGAGTAGATTGCTTGTATGATATTTATCAAAAATCAATCATTATTGTACTTGTATATCATAGGTCAATAGGAAAATAATTAATATTCTATATTCATATCAATTATCCATATTTACAAGATTGGTCAATTACTTTTTTCAAATAACTACTTTTTTGCGTTATTAGTGGACTTTAAACAAACGATTATGCTTTTAAAATCTTAAAAAGCATAATCGTTTGCTCAAAGTCCACGAATAACGCAAAAAATCGTTATTAATTAGGTAGGTGTAGCTGATAATTCTATAATCTTGGGTTTGGTTCATACGACATGGCTTACTTTCATACTGTATGGGTTGCTTTCATACGAAATGAAAGCATATGACGGAATCAAATGATTCGTTTATCAGCCAATAAAAGAAGAAAGGCACTTTTACAAATTCTACTGTAAATAATAGAGGATGTTGTGCAGATATTCAGTTAATTATTAGGGGATGGAAGAAAAAATACAAATTCCCGAAGTGAATTATGATGACGGCCAGGGACTGCAATACATTATTTGGTAGTAATAATCACTATAAATTATACATTATTACAATCATAATACTTTATACTTTTTAGCTGTTTTATCCTTTATCAGAAACTGTTCATCAGATTGGTACAACTGACGAATTCTTTATTAAACCATTTTATACCCAGATTACTATGTTATAAAAATGATTGAAAATAAAAAAAGAAACATTATGAAAAAGGACACTTCTTCTGTACTCTTTATTAACGGCGACACATCTTTCTTTTTTATATTCTGTTGAAAAGATTTCTGAGTTTTTACAATATTTCTGTCAAATGTGCATATTTTCTGCCATTATGTAAAAATAAGAAGATGTGGTATGGTTGCCAATGAGACAACTATCCATCAGAGACCAAATGACATAGAGGTTAACAACTATAGGTCACAATACGGCCTTCAAAAATGAGCAAAACCCATACCGTATAGAGTGCTATAAAAGCCTATTTCTAACGCTAAAATTAAAAATGCAACAGATCTATATTTTCTCAAACTTTTCCAATTTTCAGTTTAGGTCTATTGATACACTGGAAATAGAAATGATAACCTGTTTTCTGGAAGCATGTAATTACAGGGATCACCACGCCCACTGGAAAATCTTTAAACCATTTTATTTATTTATATAGTAGTGCAGATAAGTGCATATTAAACAACTCAGACCCAATATACGAAATCAATTAACTGTTAATAGAGATGTACAGTTTTATTTGAAACCATTTTATTTACTTATATAGTATAGCAGATAAGTGCATATTAAACAACTCAGGTCCAATATATGAAATCAATTAACTTTAAATAGAGATGTACATTTTTGTTTGATCTTGTAAAAAACGAAGTTGTGCGGATGTCCCCAAAGGTTTGTGGTCTTTACATCAAAATTTAAACTGAATGATATTCTACATCATACATTATTAAACCCCTATGTGTATACTTCTATTGAAATTTTGTTTGGACCTGTGCCCTAAAGCCCAACTTATCTAAGTAGTACATTTCATACAGGCTTTTGGAACAAGGTCAATAGCATTGTATCTAAACCTATACATATATATTTAAATCTTAATGACAGATATGGATTATATCTCGTAGATTAAAGTAATTAAAACTTGATGACAAGTTATTTAACACAGTCGTATATGTTAATCACCTTTAATCAGCAATATTAACTGATCCCAGACACAAACGTTTGATTGAAGCATTATATCAGGAGAAGTCACGGAGATTACAGTTAAAATGATTTAACCTTACGATTTAAATAACTGATTGTAGTCTGATTAACGTTCAATGACAACTATTTCATGAATATTCATGAGATGATGTTGATTAATGGATGTTTAACGTCCAGTGGCGAATTTTAAAAATGCATATCCAGGACGAAAACATGATCAAAACCCACTACCCCCCGCACTCGCGGCGAGCAAGCTTCCACGAGACCACAGAGGCGGTGATTTTCAGAACGAGATAAAATTTGAAGGTATATAGGTTCTTCGTCAAAGTGGGTTTAACAGGATGGTGCATGGGCGAGAACTTCAACTGTCAATGGAAAATGAAATCGTTTTTTAAAAGGAAGAAATTGATTATGTCTTGCAACACCTTACATAGTCCAAATAATTACGTCTTGGAAGGCTATTTTTTTTTGCTCTGACGCCTTCCTGCGTGCGTCGCAGGAAGGCGTCAAAGCAAAAAAATAAAATAGCCTTTCAAGACGTCATAATTATTTGGACTACACCTTACGATAACTCAAAGAGTATAATTGCAAGGTTCTTAAACGTTCAGCTAGAATGGAACAATCCCTACACGGGACATCGGTTTATACGTGCCAATTCCGACAGGACGTGGCTGCGTATATTTATACATCCCGCATAACCTGCACACTGATATTCTAAAGATGTACATTTTCTGAAATACTGGGAGAAAAAAAACTACAAGAATGCATCAAAACTGGAAGAAAATTGTTAATAGCATACGGCCAAGATTGTATTAAATTTCGTGAAGGGGTTCCACCGAACCATGTGTCTCGCCTTTGATTTCTGGTACTGACTGCAAATGTTAATTGCAAAATCAACTAAGTTCATATATCAGTAAAAAAAGGAAATATGAAGAAAAAATTCATTTGTTCCAGATATTATCGCTTGATCGTCCAAGTGAATAAAATTCCATGAAGGGTTGAGAAAATTGTTGATTTTTAAAAACTTAAGCCTTAGATAGACTGTATCTTAATGTCTTAAACTTAAGCCTTAGATAGACTATATCTTAATGTCAACCGAAAAAAAATCAAAAACCGAAATATGAAAAAAGTATACATAAAAGTTTTGCCCTGTATATTGTCTTTTGATCACAGAGAAGCCTCTGTCCAAGTGTCGTAAAATTCCATGGAGGTTTAACAAAGTATAGATCTTCGTATAGACTTAATAACCACAGACTGAACTTATAAGTTGACGCCCAACAACGGAATGTATATGGATCTTTATGTCTGGCTTTCGCGACTTAAAGTTACACCTTTTTTCGGAGAAATTAAATTAATCGTTTTTATAAAACGTAAAAATATCTATTGTCCTATTAATTTTGGCTTGAAAATAAGAACATTTTGGTTCGTGTTGCTAAGTCTTTAGTTTTCTAGTTTGTGTTTTGCGTACTATTGTTCGTCTGTTTGTCTGTTTGTCTGTTGGTCTTTTTCTTTTTTTAGCCATGGCGTTGTCAGTTTATTTTCGACTTATGAGTTTGATGTCCCTTTGGTATCTTTCGCCTCTCTTTGAGTTTTCGACTACAAATTTCATTTGTACGATTAAGTTACAGTCTAAATGAAACTAAATTTTTTTTGATTGATTTTGATACATAATGCGGATTCATGTGTAAGTAAATAAAACATGACACTCATTATCATATTGCGCTAAGGAATAATTTCAAATTGATATATGTTTACCAATTGACAATAGTTCTAAGCTTTGATATCATTTAACAGAGAAATGAGCATTTAAT